GGACCGTCCGGCGGACGGTCGGGGACTGGGGGGCGCGTTTGGAGCCCGTTTTTTCGCGTCGCTTCTTGCGCAGATATTTGATGAATCATAGCGTGTAATTGTAACTTTTTTAAAATTATATTTTTTTTTGTGGGGGGGGTAGAATCCGGGCGCTTCTCCAATGGGAAGGGTTGGCTTCGAACCCGGACCCTTGTTATGAAGGGGGTTTTTTAAATCCCCCCAATTAACATGGATTGTTTAGCTTCTTCATTTGGGGTGTTTCATTTATCAAGAATCTACATTAACTAGGCTTCCTGGCCCACCATGGTCCACCATGGATTTGATGGTTTTTGAACCAATAGCCATTGTTTTTCTTTTTTTTCAAAGGATTGTACGCTAATGGTCTTGGAAGATCAGGACATTTATAATACATTATAATATATATATATATGTCAAAAAACTGAGGTGTGGATGACATATGATGACATGACAGGATAGTTTCCACCCCCAGACAGTGGTTTCAGAGTAGATGGCATAGACCCCCAAGACCATCTAAGATGTCCATATGACCTACGTTCGTCCCAGCGTCCCCGGTCGCGTCGTCCGTTCCAGTCGTTTGGTCCAACTGGTCAGCGTCAAATATGTTGGACGACATGTTTCACCACATGCAATGCAATCCGAAGATGAGATGGCAAGATGTGTGAAGTGCGGGAAGTGCACAGTTTGCACCGCACGAGGTCATGCCGTGGTCATGCCCAACGTGTTTTTGCTACGGCTGCAAACGCATGCCTGATCGAATGGCAGGCATGGCTTCCCTTCAAAGATGAGATCACCCAAAGATTGAGCACGGTGGAGGTGCTTCTGGAGGGACAGAAGCTTGGATCGCTGCAGGAAAAGCGACCTGCTTGTGGGGGACATTCAGAGGTTCAGTGACCCGGACAACCTGGGGTGGCCTGGGATAGTCGAACAGGAAAGGCTCCTTCAACCTCGGTTCCGGGTGGATGGGAGCCAAACACGCAGAAGACGAAGAGATCAGTTGATCAGTTCTGTTGATCCTCCTTGAAGGCCGCGATGCCCCACCAGGTGAGGACTACATGTTTTTGCTTTGCAAAGTCAGTAGACGGCCTCACATCGTCCGAACTCACCTGTCTTGTGCCAGAGCGCCGGGTTTAGATGGTGAGCATGCCAAAACGCACAGTCTCTCCACTCGGGTGGGCAGTTCCACGCCGCTCCACGTCCGGAAACGAAAGCCAGTGCCGAAGTGCCAGTCCGAGGTTTGGGATTCGAACGACGAGATATCCAGTGTAGATCTCGGTGGTTGCTGTGTCATTAACAAACTTTAGGAGCGAACACATCTTGCTCTCTCGAAAACTGGCGGAATGAAGCCTGTTGGGTGCGAACTGGGGGAATGAAAGATCAAGACATGCACTAAACATGTTTTCTCTTCCATGCAGGCTCTTATGTTTGTTTGGATTCTTGCTTGTGGTTTTTCAGTACAGAGTTGGAATCGGGTCATGCTGCAATGGATAACAGGAAATTGGATGATGAGGACGAGACGCTGATCAATGCTGGGATTTCAGGCTCCTCCTCGGTGCAGGTGCGGCGCTCCTCCTCGAACTCGAACTCGCTCGCCGCATGCGATCTGTGGCTTTTCCAGCGATCCGGGTCCTTTTTTTCCCAAGATAGCTGCAGGCTGAAAGGTTTCCAACTTCTCAATGGTGTGGTTCTGGATCGGTGTTTCGTTTTGCGGGCGCTGCTCCCGTGCTGGTGCTGAATCGGCGTTTTGTTTGGCCGGTGCTGGTGCCGTGCTGGTGCTGGTGCAGGCGCTGGCTCTGGATTGGCGTTTCGTTTTGCGTCATGCCAGGGATGACATCATGTCATGCCAGGGGTAATCCTGTCCACCTATTAAAAACACGCCCCCCCCTCCCCCCCGAATAAGAGAAACTCGGCCGCATTTTTAATATAGGGGGTCTCTGAAATCGGGGGGGTCCAAAATAGGGTCACCTGGGAAGAGCTTCAAGACCAAAAAGCCATCCCAGAAAAAACATTATACAAAATCCTTTATTAAACTCGTATCAAAAATTCAAGAAACTTCCAGATTGAAGAATCTTCCTTTTCCCCTACAAAAACCTTGATTATCCTTGATTTGAATACTGACTCTTCATTAGACTAACAACCAAAGCTTTCGAAAGGTGATGTCGCTGTGCCATGCGGTTTTGCAGGACCTCGGTGGCAAGTGCGTTTGCGTGAGTCCGTGCCATTGGAGGAAGGAAAACCTGCTGGTGTAAACGCGGCGTGTCATGGTGGATACCGAGGGCGGACAGATGTGGGCAGTTACGGTTGTTTTTGGAACCTAATGAAAAAAAGAAACTACCCCCAAAATCGACCATGTTGGTAGTTTAGTAGCGGCTTGAAAGGGCGGTAATTTAAAACCAAATTTAGACCGAATTTAGAGCTTCGGACGTGTTTTTTTTTAATTGGGGAGGATTTTTTTAAAAAGGTACTCGGGAATATAGGGATGACATCATGTCATGCCCAGGGATGACATCATGTCATGCCCAGGGATGACATCATGTCATGCCAGGATGGACGTCATGTCATGCCAGGGATGACATGATGTCATGCGAGGGATGGCATCATGTCATGGCAGGAGTGACATCAGGTCATGCCAGGTGACATCATGTCATGCCCGGGATGACATCATGTCATGCCGGGGATGGCTTCTGGTGATGCCAGGTGACATCATGTCATGCCAGGGACGACACAATGTCATGCCAGGAATGACATCACGTTATGCCATTCCACGGATGACATCATGTCATGCCAGGGGACGTCATGCCCCGAATGCCATCATGTCACGCCAGGGATGACATCACGTGATGCCAGGGGCGACATCATGTCATGCCAGGGTGACATGCTGTCATAGTGTGCGTGACACCGTGTTGATCAGCAATGATCATCACGTCGTGTGCAGCTTTGGCTGGTCCTTGCCGCTTGCCGATCTTGCAGTGTTACGCCTGTGTTGGGCAAGGCGGGCGCATTCAGCTGATAGCTGTTGCGCACATATTGGTGGACTGGTCTGATGTTGCGTGCTGCTGTGACAGCCGTCCGTGACGTGTCCTTCAAGCCTATATACACCCGCTATCTGGGGTCTATGCCAGTGTAATTCTGGACAAGGCACCTGGACGAAATGTCCGGTCAAGGGACGTTGGATTGAAACATCAGCAGGCCGACTGGTCGTCTGACATGGTTCGTCTCTTCCGACCATGTCGGTGAATCTCCACGGAGTAGGAACCCTCCACGGTAACATCGAACGCTTGGTGAGATGGCTGCCTGACGTGGTCACGAGGTTTCGACACATTTGTTTTTTACATATTAGTGGGTATACATAGACATGTATAATATGATTCAATCATATATGAACCCATATTTGGTTTGTATGTTACATATACCTTTTGTTGTGAATATACACAGTTATACACATGCATGAGGTTGTGAAATGACCGCCCCGACATTCCAGGTTGATTTGTCCTCTTTGCCATATAGCGCGTCATTTGCGAACCGCACGTCGGTCGAAACGACTGCTGAGGTCTTGTTCACCATGAAACCACCAGTCGAGTGCAGCTGCACCGGCGGTGCAGCAAAGATGGGTCTGCAGGACGTGCGCGTTCCGGAGACTGCACGGTTTGTTTGCGATTTTGCCTTCCGAGGCTGCAGATCCTTGCTAAGAGTGGTCATGCCGGATTCGGTGATCTCGATTGGAAAGTATGCCTTTTTGGACTGCAGCTCTTTGATATGGCTGACACTGTCCAATGCACTGACGACAATTGAGGATTCTACTTTTCAGAATTGCGCGTCTTTGGAATCCTTGACCATCCCTAGTTCTGTTCGACAGATTCACACGTGCGCTTTTTCAGGCTGCGAGTCTTTGACAAGTCTAGCTATCCCGAACTCTGTGACCCATATTCGAGAGAGTGCCTTTTCATGCTGCACATCTCTGAGAAGCTTGAGGATCCCTAATTCAGTGCGTGAGATTGATCTATATGCATTTGCAGGCTGCACCTCTTTGACAAGCCTGACGTTGTCCAGCTCCATGACAGTGATTGGACGCTACAGCTTCTCCCGCTGCCAGTCTTTGACGACCTTGAAGATTCCGAAGTCTGTCATCCGGATTGGAAGATTCGCCTTCGCGGGCTGTAGATCTTTGACCAGGCTCACCATTCCTAGCTCGGTGACTCACATCGGAATTGGCGCCTTCCAGCACTGCAGCTCCTTGACAAGTCTGGTGATTCCCGACTCTGTGACTGAAATTGGAAAGTTTGCCTTCCAAGATTGCAGCTCCTTAAGATCTGTGCATCTCCCTGCTTCTCTGAACAGCTCAGCTCTCATGGCTTTCATTGGCTGTGGCCACATGGCTGTAGCAACTGGTCGCCCAAAGAGGTCGCGTCGCCCAAAGGCGTCGAAGCTGGTGCGCTCGGTGAGAACGAGGTCGCGGGACTGCGGGCCGGCGAGGGAGACGACCGTGTGCCGTGCGACGCACGGAGCGTGATCGATCACGGACTCTATGGGTGACCAAAGGTGTCCATTTTTGATGCCAGTTCTTGCCAGTTCGCAATGCCTTCCCCGTCCCCGTCCGAAGCTTGGGGACGGAAGATGGCCCCAATCGATCAAGAGAACTCCCGCGGGAGTGGGCGGGACATGTTTGGAAGGTGGAAGAATCACGGTCGGTCCTTGAAGCCCACGAGCAATTCCGAACTCGGCCCCTGGCCCCACAGCTCTTTGAACTTTGAACGGATTTCGGTGCGATTTGGATGGATTTTGGCTCAAAACACTACTGCTCTACTGGCAGGGATGCCTCATCAAATGCAGCTGCAGCTGGGGTAAAGAAAGATGAAACAAGTAGGTGACTTGAGAGGCTCGGCAAGAAAACACGCTATAAGGCCCTACAGTAATTCCAGGTTGAGCATGAAACACACGCACTGGGAGGTTTTTGGGTCCGTGCCCTTTGCCAGATTCGCCAGGCACTGGTTCGCAGTTTGGACACGTCCAACCAATGATCGAGACGAGACGACCAGGCCGTGCCATGTCGCCAGATGGATGAAATGAACGGGAGGAATGATGACCATTTGTTTTTTTTCATTTTTCTGTGTGCAGGTGTTCTTTTTGTTTCTATACAGTGGTCAGTCTGCACGTGTTTTGGTTGGGAAAACTCTCCACTTCAAGGTCTACAGTTTCCTTTTTGATTCTGCAGACTGAGGAGCCAAACAATGAGATTGCATATCCACCACCGACCCATTCAAAAGGGATCCACCCAAAAATGAGGAACCATGAACTTCTGTGTCAGGCGGTGGTGTTTCGCCTTGGAGACCACAGAAACATCCTCTTCTTCGGCCCTTCCAAGCAGAAATGCTCAGGCGGTGCCGACGAAATCGTCAGAAGCATTCCTCGCTGCGCAAAACCCGACACCTGCGGCGCGAAGTGCTGGATTTGGCGTGCGCGTGGGGTGGACAGTGCAACCTTCAGCGCCTGGGGGTCGTCCGTGGGAGTCATAGAAGGGCTACCTGGACCTTCAAGGGGTGTCCTGTCTGGAGGTCCCTTAGTGGTGGGCTGGGGCTTCCATTGATGACCCCGACATGAAGGTGCTGGTATAGGGATGTTCTGTTTTGTTGGTCTGTTAATGTGGCTCATGGTCACGAAATTCTTCGGGCATGGTGAACGTGGGAATGGTGAACGAGGGTTCACGCGATCGGCGATGTGGAGGGTTTGGCCGAGGTGAATGCCACTCTGAATCTCTTCTGTTGCCACGTGCTTTTGACTGAGTTCATATGATTTGGGGCAAACATGCTCCTGACACCAACCGCACTCCATGCCGATCGCAGATCACAGATTCCCCGGGCCGGTCCCAAGGGTTTGGGCCGAAAAAATCGCTTCTGATCTGCAAGGGGCCTTAGAGGATCAGACTGACCATCGGGCACTCCCGCAAAAAAACACATGGAACTATATAACAACCTTGTGGTCACCAGGTTCCATGTGAGTATCATCGTGCAATTACTCCCCCAAGTCACGTGGGACCTGAGCATGGACCCATGGTGAAACGACCATGTATTTGGTGTTAACCCCGTGGTAAGCTTGGGGTTCCATATTCATTTCCAAGGAACCAAAAGTGACCCTGGGAGAAACTGCCGACCTGGTCCGAGTAGAGCTTTGATGAGAATGGGAACCTCACCACGGAACCTCGCCCCATATGTTTTAATTCAAGCCTCGCATCTCCAACTTTCCCACCTCCATTCCACTTGATCAACCGCCGGACCCGGCTGCTTTCGGAATCAGCCACCGCGTCTCGGATCCGCTGGCTTCTCTGGCTTCTCTCGCGGCGAGGAAGAGCTTCGACGAGGCCTATGCGATTTGCAAGGATGCACGATCCCAGGCGGGAGCGGGAGCAGAGCGTGCGGGGCGTCCAGCAAGTCCGTTGTGGGAGGGACTGAGAACGAGCAGGAACGAGACTTGGCAGACTCATGCAGAAGCTGGTGAACTTGCGAACGGGACTTGGCGAAGTTGCTGCGGTGTGTAGGTCAGAGTGGTTGCTCAAACTGTGAGGAGATGATTGACTCCCATGAAATCCCATGAAGGCAGATCAAGATGAAAAGACACGTCTACTGTACATACATTTTTTATTCCTACGATAATGACACATAGATCACATAGGGAGACGATCGTTGCACGTATCATGGTCACAAGTCCATCACTATGTCCCCCCAAAAGTCTCTCAACTGATCAGCTAAGCAGAAGAAGGAAGAATCATCAATGCGTCGGTCTTGATGCTGAAGCCAAAGATGTCATACAGCCAAGGAAAGATCGTCTAGGGATCCTATCCCACATCCTCAGGTGGTGAAGGTAGGGTGTGGTGGCCAAGGTCTGTCCCTATCAGAACCTTAACTATGTGAGCTCTTGTTTTCCAGGTCGCATAGACGAAACACCCACCTTCCCTCTCCTCCCACCGATGTCCTGCAAACCTCCGAACCGATGCGGAACTCTCTGCGCGCCATCCGGGATCCAAGTTCTTCCGACCCACCGGGCGCCCGGTGGGGTTAGAGACCGGAGACACACATGAGACCGGAGGCAGCATGAAGCGTAGCAGACGATGTCATTCGTAGCATGGCTATGTGATTCCGAACACATGGAGCATCATGGAGCCATTCTGCGGATGTCCTTTGGATGTCCTTGGTCGAGTCCGCCTCGATTCTGAAGCCCAATTCTGCGGAAGGATCACGAGAATTTGAGAATACTTGAAGGAAGTGGAGGCTCTCAAGAGCGGCAGACCTAGTCGAAACACCTGGATGATTCTCCTATAGAACTAAGCCCCTACCCACGATCATCCAAGGAATCTCACAAGTGGGGCAAAGACTAAAAGTGTCAAACAGACAGACTCCACACCGCAAGCGAAGCACTCCAAGACTCCGCAAGACACCAGTCCAATCGCACTCCCAAGCACTGAGTGGGCCAACTTGGAACTCGTGCCCCCAAGCGAACGGAGCAGGCCCTGTTGTTTTCGAACGAGCGCATGAGCAGATTGGCAACCCGGCCACCAAGAGGAGCCTCCACCACATCGAGGTCAGTTGATCCAGGTCAGGTCCAGAGCGTCGCTTCGGCGCAATGCATAGTTTTGCTTCGCCCTGCCAGGCATGCCCCAATGAAGGCTTCACTCAACAGCTGAAAGCCTTCGACGATGAGCTCAGGATGGGCAGATGTCACTGGCAGCGTTTAAGAACCCAATAAGTGAAAGAACATGGGCGAGTCCTCCAAGAATCAAAGACCTCCAAGAAGGCATGCTTTCTGCAGGCGCTGGAAACGCACACAATGGGAGGGCATTTGAAGAGGGTGAACAAACTAGCATCAGATGTATCGCGCAGTGAACATGACACTGCTCAACAGAGCCGCACATTGCTGTCAAAGCTCCACTTGTGATAGAGAACCAAGATCCATGAGGGTGCTGTTCCTATGATTGCAACAGTGATGCTGGTATTGCTTTTGTAACTCAGTAGCTTTTCCAGCATTCGCATTATTTTGTCAGCATGAACGTGTCATGTAGGTTAAAGATGCTTCTATTTGTATAGTTTTGATTTTTCGGGAGTTGAAAGCTCAGGAAGCTGAAGAAGACAACCTACGAAGTACTGATGCATAGTGATATGTTGTTACACTATTGGGTCTCCTGTCACTTTTGACAGGAGATGTGTTTTTGATACCTTCAAAGTGACCGTCCTTTTCAATCGGATGTTCGGTCACGACTCCTCCCTCTTCACAAACAGCTCCTGTTTGGGAAGATGCTCACATCGACTCATCCCGCTTGGTGGTTGTTCGTCCCAGTGAAACCCTTGGCAGTTGGTGGTGGCTCGTTGTGGGGGAGTGGCGGGCACATTGCTCGTTGTGGGTTGAGCTGAAAAGGCTGGGCCTCGAGTGGCTAGGCATGCGAGGAGGCCCGAAGTCAAATGCAAAGAAAGGAGTGTGAGCGGTGTGACAACTTCTTTGGGGATGGTACTATACCCGGAAGTGGAACTACACTCCGTGTTTGTTGGAGAAAGTGTTGGTGAGGACTTCAATGGATGGGCCGCCGACTGGTCAACTGGTGAGGACTCCCGAACCTCCCAGCTGTTCTGTGGTGCGGGTCTCCTGATTTGAGTTACACAGTATATGTCCTTTATATACCCGAGGTCCAGCACCATCCTCGCGGGTTTGGTGGTTGGGGCGGGTGCCAGTGGGGTCCAACTACCTTCTGAGGAGGTGTTATTTCCTTTATAAGTCGTGAAAAAAGGCCTTGTCCAGCGCACATGCATCCATTGTGATGTTGAGGAGCAATCCGAAGCTTTACGAGCCACTGCCACCCAAGCGTGGGAAGCAGTATTGTTCGGGCCCTGGAAAGGCTGGAAGGGAAGGTCCAATGGAAAGATTAGATTTGGGTCAACACACAGAGCGCAGGGTTCTGCAGTCTCTTCTGTTGGAGGGGAGACTTGTTGACCTTCTTGTAACTCGTTGTTGTAGAAGACCGGCTTTGGATGGGTGTCTTAGACATCATCTACCATGGCCCAAAGGCTGGAAAGAGGGTGCGTGCTTTCTTTTCGCGAAGAGCGGACCAGCTCCGTAGGTTGGAGGAGAGTGAAAGCGCCCGCACTCTCCTGGCATATTTGCGGAACTTTTCTTGAACCTGGACGCTTTTGGGCTTAGACCGTGATTGGATAGACCTGGTACTGCTGCTAGGCCATCACCATTTGTTCAAAAGAATCAAAAGAACGGTAGCAAACTCCATTGCTGTAGTTGGAGCTGAGTGCTTGGCATAGCGATTGAAGGTAGCAATCACTCTTCCGAGTCGGAAAGATAATTACAGGGATAATCAGGGATAGGTTTCTTCATATGGTGTTACCAGGTGTTGGTGTTAAGATCATGTGCCGATGGACACCTTCTCCCCTTTGCTCTGTTCACTGTGAGCCGCTCTTGGAGCTTGGTATAGCTTGGTATTTCTCTTTGGATGGTCAAAGACGGAAGACTTTCGCTCCGACTTGGCCTCCTGACCTCCCCAAACCGCTGGCGGTGGGCTGGCGGGGTGACGCGTGCCGGCACACTGGCAGACGAGGCAGGCTCAAGTGCACAAAAGTGCACAGTCCTGTCCGCAAGATCTGTGGCGCCACCCATGGGGAGCGTAGCGAGTACCAGGAGTTCCACGAGTGCTACTGTGAACTTCTCAAGAGTCGTTCCAGAGGCGGAAAAGTCGCCCGTGTCTGTCAATACTTGGCTGGAAGAGTCCCAGGAATTGCCATCCGAAAAGAATTCCGTGATGTCCGCAACTCGACCACAATTGGTTGGGGTGACATTGTTTCGCTCATTTCGCTGGGTTTCCCACACTGCGCTGCGCCGAAAGAAACACCACCTCCGACCCACTGCGACCCACCCCTGAGGGTTTTCTTTGCGCCTGCCAGGCTTTTGCGTGACCACCAAGTCCGAAAACGTGCACCACAACGAAAGCACCCCACGCTTCCGTCAGAGACTTTCTGCGAGCCTGCGCAGTCAAACATGCACTTCGAAGATCATATCTCGCTTGTAATTATGCTTGTGTTTCGAAAATTTGGGGGGACCTGTCTAGCGAAGCTGCGCTTTGGCATCTGGATGTTGTCTCTGGAACTGCTTTTGCTGCGAAGCACCCTGGCAGGGCTGCGCGCTGTGAACCTTGATGTGTAGATGTCGTGGCAAGCACAGCGCTTTGTGAGCCTGGAAGTGCAGATTTCCTGGCAGGCGCATGCAGGCAGCATTTTGTGACTACCACTCCACACCTACCACACTACTACCACTACCACTACCAATCTATCATTACCACCACCACACTACACTAGTGGGCTACCACTACCACCACACTACCACTACCACTCCACCATTGCCACTACCACTACGACTAACACCGCTACGACTACGACTGCCGCAGGGACAACTAGATCATATCTTCACTGATCATTGCGATCATCTGCGCACGGCTGCGACCGAGGACAACGGACTGGTAGTTCGACGAACGGACTCAGTGGGGGTAGTTCAGGGTGGCACTGTTCGTTTCATAAAGGGCTGGCCGTGTTTTCCTGGAAAGCTTTGAGCATGAACTCTTCGGATTCGGTGTGACGTGACCAATGGCCATCTCGAACATGTCCTGCTCGCAGCGGTGGGGGCGGGGCAAGACTTCGGCACTAAGGAAGATGAAGTCTCAACGAGTCCGGTACATGGCCGCCGCTGCCGATCAGCCCCGGTTCACATGCGAATCCACAAGGTGCAGGGCTTGAAGGTGCGCATGGGATATATGTGGGATCCAGTAGATCTAGTTACCACTATAGCTGGTAAAGCAGTGGTTCCCAAGATTAACACCATAGAAACCCGGGTCAATTTCAGGCCGATCGGATCCATTGGGTCGCAGAAACAGGTACCAAGCACGCACGCAACCATTTCTGGAGCACGTACCTGTTGTCTTAACCCACTCGTCGCGTCGACGGAGCACCTGTCTGAGCCCAAAGATAGGAATCGCTCCGAATCGGTGCGGTGTTGTTGCACTTCAAAACACAAACGGTGTTTGACCAGGAGGTACTGTGGTCAAACACCGATGTTTCGGAAGGGTTGTCTTCCACAGTACCTGGAGTCCGACCATTCTCTTGAGGGTTGTCGAGGGTGCCAGTTGGTGTGATGGGTTTCTACTGATTGATCGTATTGGGTCCTCCAACCGCGATGGCAATCGTTGTCAACCTGATGGATGGGACTCCACAGAGAAATCATACGTACACCATGTGCAAAGAACGGACATATCATGAAATATCACTTATTGATCACTGGTGCACAGCTCTTGGATGCTCTGTCCTGCTCTTGGATGCTCTGTCCGGACATATCACTTACTGTGATCACTTTAGCATCCGGCTCTTGGATGCTCTGTCCTGCTAAATGAACGTTTTTTTCGCGGTGCCGGCGGTGGTCGTCCGGTCGCAGGTGCCCTTCCAGATCACCAAGGAGGAACAATGGGCAGTGGAAGAGGACCCCATGCGACCCGGAACGATCCGGACAAAGATCCCGAAGACGGCGGAAACCGAACGCCCGGTGTTCGGTGTGAACGGTTTTCGGTGTGGCGTTTTCCAAGTGGCGGTCGCGATCGTGAGCGTGAAGACTTTCGAGTCTGAAGGATCTCCACTTTGACCGGTAAGAAGGGGGGTAGAGTCGAGAAACGCGTGCCAACCATGCACGTGTTTGAGGGCAGGAAGGTCTACCGGTGTACGAGCAAGGGAGTCATGAGTACTTCGGCGCACCTCGGCGGTCAAGCTGGATCTTCCAAGGCCAAGAATGCAGAGATTCTTGGTGTCTAACGGTATTTCACTATGATTGCTGATGCGTATCCCGCAAGTACTGAACCACTGTGATAGCAAGCAGCTACAGTCATGTGACTAGAGTACAATTTGTTCTCTTGGCAAGACACTCGACACGCTCGACAGGTGTTTATTCGACCAGCTAGCAAGCAGGACAGCTTTTGAATCTATAGTTGGGAGTAGCAACTAGCATATTGTCGCAGGGCATGGCAGTAGCCTCTTCAAATCCTGGGTGCTGGCTCCAAACTGGTTGAAACCATCATCATTGAGTGGTGTGGGGGCAGAGTCCAAGGTTACATTCGTACCTACCACAACAAACGCGCACCCAATCCACAGGACGGCAAGCCTTCCACCTCCCCCCAAAAAAACACTGCTGGTAGCGGATATGTGCGGCAGGGTGACTCTCCCCCAATTTGCTTTCCAAACCAGGTCACCAGTGCAGAGCATGGAGCATCGCTCGCACGCGAAGAAGGGTTTGGCACACTGTGCCACGTCTTATGCCCGGATGCAAAAGATGCTTGGTCGTCAATGTTTGCATCTCTGTATGTACCAAATGTAAGAACATTTGGACACAGCTTCCGTTTATTCCAGCGTTCTTCGATCACTTTTGGGGGAGAAGTTGGCTGATGATGTCTACAGTCTACAGTTTGTCTTTGATCCACTGCAGCGTGACTTTGTTTGATCAGTTATTGAGCGTGACTCTGAAATCTATCCGTAATTCTTGGCTGCGACCATCTCCTAGAAAGATCACATGGACATATATTTATTTATAACATATAATATATACTCACACTCTCAACTTTTTGATCATACTAGCAATTAGGCTCATATTGATCATAAGATCTTTCTACCATATCTATCTCCATATATCCGTTGTTTATATGTTTGCAATTATGCTCAAACAATGGCATCCGAAGAAAGCAAATCCAAGAACATGTAGGTGGCTTGAGGTTGGTTGTGGTGCTTTAGTTCTTGGGCATTGCTCTCATCGAAACGGAGACTATCGAAACCAGAAGCCGGTAGAGAGACCAGCTACCCTGGCTAAATGGGTGCCTCACCTACACAGTGTTTTGAAGGATTGGAGACACCACTAAACAAGGAACAGGACCATTTTTTGGCAAAAAGACAGAGAAGAGAAACACACAAGTATACTGAACGATCGGCTAGTATATGTCCTCTTCATTTTGCTTCGATCAACCTTTGCTTTGCTTGTCTTCTTCTCCAGAGTCGGGGTGGATCCAACGAGCACCGGACGAAGCGAAGGCGGATCGTCAACCCCTTCTCCTTCAAACACGCTTGTAGAGCTTGCTTCCATCAGGTGAAGCACACAAACAGTCGGAATGCTTCCACAAACAGTTTTTTTCTTTTTTCTTTGACCAAACCTGGTAGTTACCCCAAAAAATCCTGGAAGTACCAAAAGGGGACTCGAAGCTCCCCCAAGCTGAAACCTCCAAGCTCAGCTCAGGAAAAGGGTGACCGGCTTGCTGGGGTGAACGTCTGAGTTCATGCTGCACGCGGCCAACATGCAGCTACCGTTCTAGCTTGGATTTGGCATGGGACACACCTGGGATGCATCCAACCGGCCCATCCCAACCGCAGAGAGCGAGTGGACTGAGTGGAAGCGAACCTGGTCGACCCGGGTGGCGACAAAAGCCATGGGAGTACCGGTTAACCCATGCAAAACAGGGTCGAAGAGAAGCCGTGGGTTTTGGAGATACATTGGCATCGAACTGACCGACCTTTTTGTCCGCTTCTTTTTGTGCGCCGTATGGTCGCATATGGTCGCGCCTACAAGAAAAACAGTATTTTTCTATTTTTTTGGTCGGCGGCTTCTTGGGAAATGCAGCAACTCTGAAGACGAGGAGTCCTTGCTCCAAAAAGAAAAAGGAATCTCCACTCTAATGGATTGAGGAGCTGTTCATGGCATTCTGGTTCGTCAGATGGTTGCTAGGATTTTTTTCTGTCTTAGTAATCCGGTCCACCTATTAAAAAACACGCCCCCCCGCCCCTAATAAGGAAACCTCGGTCGCATTTTTTCTAATAGGGGGTCCCTGAAATGGGGGGGTCCAAAATAGGGTCACCTGGGAAGAGCTTCAAAACCAAAAAGTAAATCAGTAAAATTTTATATAAAATCCTTTATTAAACTCGTATCAAAAATGCAAAAAAAGCTCCAGATCGAAGGGTTTTCCTTTTCCCCTGCAAAAACCTTCATTAGAATAGTTATTCTTCAGTAGACTAACAGCTAAAGCTTTCGAAAGGTGATGTCGCTGTGCCATGCGGTGTTGCATGACCTCGGTGGCAAGTGCGTTTGCGTGAGTCCGTGCCATTGGGGGAAGGAAAGCCTGCTGGTGTAGCGCGGCGTGTCATGGTGGATAGACAGGGCGGACAGATGTGGGCAGTTACGGTTGTTTTTGGAACCTAATTAAAAAAAACTCCTCCAAAGTCAGCAATGTTGGTAGTTTAGTGGCGGCTTGAAAGGGCGGTAATTTAAAACAAAAATAAACCGTACTTAGGGGCTTCCGACATGACGTTTTTCTCATAGGGGTCCGTTTTAAATAGATACTCGGGATTATGCATGCATATATATATAAATATATGTATATATATATAGATATATTGATGGGGGTCAGCAGCTGTTTTCTCTTGAGTCCTTGACACATCGAAATCAACCCAAGCTGTCGCATGTTCGCAGTTGGAAGGCGCTTAACGTTTTTTAAAGGCGCGCCTATACCACCCCCTTGTGAAGGGGGGTGGCTCTACGGAGGTGGCTCAGCTTCCGCGGGCGATCAGCGGGACAAAAGCCCGGTGAGTCACCGTCCTCATCCCCTTGCGACAGATCATTCCAGTGCACTGAAGACCTGTGACAGGGCCAGCCCTCAACGAATGACAGGGGTTGGGTTGGTCGTTGGTTCTTGGGGTGTTCAACTTTGCTCGTTTTTCCGATCATCCAGTAATTAGCGACCGTCCGGTCACGTTTCCTGCGACCGTGCCAGACACGAAAACGGAGCAGGGGGAGAGAGCCACACGACCGACCGAAAGCCGTGTTTCGACCAATGGGCACCTCCGTGGAGTTCCGCCGTTCCGCGCATCGGGCGCGTCGTTCGGGGAAGTTTTTCCTCCGAATCGGTGCAGATCCGATTCAGACCAAACAAGGGTGACGGGGAAGGATCCAACAAGGGGGGGTGCGGGTTACTGCCGCTCCACTTTAGGCTAGCGCAAGAGGAAAAGAGAGGGTTTTTTGTTTTGAGGCTTTACGAAAGAGGCTTACAATCACTGAATCCTTTTCTTTGGCTTAAACTAGTACCTGGTGGCTTTCTCTTCGCTGGGCTCGGTGTCTAACATTTCTTTGGGCTCTGAACTCACACCGAGCACCTTTGGGAGAAGACACTGTCTCGGTGTCCTCGCTGTCCTGTCTCGGTGTCCTTTTGGTGTGAACCCTCGGAGGAACTCATTTTAAATTTTGCACGTCCACCTTCTATAGACCAAACTGAGGAGTTCAAGTGCCGTCGAAAAACGTTTTCGACAAGTGGAGAGGTAGAACTTCATGTCACTGTCATTGTGTTTCTTAAGTTTGGGATTCAATCAAGCCAGATCGGTTACTTTGGGTCTCATTCCACTGGCCACGTGGCTGTCATGGGATGTTTCGCTTGGAAGGTGTTCTTGCGATGGCTTGAGGTGGCTTCTTATGTGGCTGCTTGGAAGACATCAGCCAGCCAAGCTTCAAAAGGTTGCACTGTGCATCCTCTGAATTCTATCTTTGGAAGGATTGACACCTGTCATGAGGGTTAGCGGCGAGTTCCTCAGGGTTGGGTTTTATGTGGCCACGTACACAGTAGTTGCTTAAGTGGCGGTTGCAAATGCTGCTGCTGCTGCTGGGGGCTGGCTGGGGACCATAACCACCACAATAAGCTATTTCAAGAAAACACAGTTCGCCTTTTGAGGACCTTGACCCCAAATATCTTTCAGAGACATCGAATTTTCCATCGATCAAAGATACTCTGTACACCGTCGGGTGACTTCACCTGATACTCGCGCACCGTCGCTCTGGGATCCTTTTCCGTCGCCGCTCAGTTCTCCACGTTCCACGTGAACGCTCGGAGTCTCGGCTCAAGGCCGGTTCCATCGCGCTGCGACTTGATCAATACATAGTTTGGCGTGGTGCGACTTGATAAGGCCTTGTCACGACACAAGAAACACAGGGACCCTTTATGTCTATATAGGCTGAAGAAATCAATGACCTTTGTTTGGTGGTTGAGTTGGGGTTACCATTCCAAACTATTGGAAAACTAAACTTCATCACTTCATAGAAACAGGTTGATGCAATGCTTCCCTCCTCACTTCATGGCTTTGAGTTTCTTTGATTGGCACATGCTCAATTTTTACCCAAGTGCAAAACAACTATATAATTTAAACCTACACCCGGGAAGATTGACATGGAAACCTGAAAATGAACCTTTGGAAGACTATTCTCCTCTACTACCTAGTGGTTTATGTGGTTTTCAGGTTCCATGTTAATTTTCCTGGTTGTAATGATTTTGACCCTAGCATAAACCAGTTGACTTTCGACTTCCTGAATCCCTGCCCCATCACCTGGAACACCTCGAACTTGGTCCAAAACCCTGGTCAAATGACTACAACAGCTGCTTTGGGCTTCATGCCATCAGCATTTCATCAACATCAACTTACCAGTGACCGCGGAAGATCAGTCAGTGGATAACCTTCAACATGTTGTGACATGCCTTTTTGTGGGGATTGTTCGTTTTCCCAAACACGAACAGACGGAAGGTTTGATGGTATAACCTTCAATTCGTCCCATTTCCAGCTCGAGAGTCTTGCATTGGTATTCATGACGCATCGAACGCCCGATCCGCGGCCAAATCTCTGGCCGAAAGGATCCAAGATGACCAAGATGGTCAAACGTTCTTCTCAGAGCTTCTTGTTTAAAGAAGGCCCCGGGTTTATGATGATCATCCAATTCGTGTTGTTTGTTGGTTTGGCTACATTCTTTCAGATGGTTCTACCTAGCTGGACATTTGAACCTGTATCCAAAGTGAAACGGCAAGCTGTCGTGCTTGCCGGGCCCAATGGAAGTAGTGACTGCGCGGGCATTGGAGGATTTTCTAAAGACGTTCAAGATCTCTTCAACCGTGGGAAGACCGAGCTATGAAGGCCATGAACCTGTTCACAAATGAGCCATGAATATCTCCGACTTTGTGACACTCGACCGTGGGACACTTGAACACTCGAAAGAATTATATAGCTCTTCTACTGTAGTACGACTCTATTCGTGAATTCTGCTATGTCCATGCTGTGTGGAGCTCGTGCTGTGCCAAACTTGCTCAGATGCCGTGCCAAAAAGGGCCACCACCAAGTAGGACTCCGTCCGTCCGTCGCAGATCGGCTCCGCTGCGCCTGGTGCGATGGATCCACCGTCTCCTCACGACCGTCCCCAACACCTGGTCGATGGGCGGGGTGCAGCAGACCTGTGGACATAGCTCTGAGGCAAACCCCGAGCCAATGCCGGTACCACGGCGCAATTCAACATTCAAGAGACCACCAGGGAAAACTTCAATCCGAATGGCACAGTGATGCACACATGTATGCAAACCTTCCACCTCCCGAAGCCTCGCACTTGTGCAGCAATCGTCATACGTCATATACTTGCAAAGTCACGTTTGTACGCCGTGTCCACCATAGACCTCCTGACACAGGCTGACACACTCATCTCTCCGTCCAAGACCACCGTAGTCCTCCAAACACTTTCCTCAACGGCCAACGGTAGGGTAGGGTATGGTATGGCAGCGGTGACACCGTAGACCACCAGCAACTGCTGCTCACAGAACGTTGGCACCTTCACTCCGGCGAACGCCATGTCGACACGGCACTGTCGTGGACCTGCACAGCTTCGGCCGCCCAAAGCGTAGACGGAACACCGTGAGAAGAAGCTGCGCGACAGAGCAACGATGCCACCAGACCAACTTTCAACATTAAATGACACAAGCCACTTCCCACGATTTATTGCACTGTATATAATTCACCCAGAATCGAGTGAATGAATCTATATGTTCCTTGCTCCTGGGCGACTTCGAAAAGGGAAGCTCTTGCGCCGGGTCTCTCTGGCACGCCTTTCAGGTTCTGAGAGTCCAGGGTTTTTTCCGTGTCGACGGTGTGACGAGCCAGCGCCGGTGTGTGGCTCGCGTGGTGGACACGAAGTGAGCCATGATGTTTGGGGTTGGAAGAATGTCGAGAAGCGAGTTCGACGAGCTGGACTCTCCACGGTCTGGTACTGTAACCTCGCAAAAGAGGGCGCGGCTGGAGGCCTCGATTCAAGTGTTTTGCCTGACCGTTTTGCATGACAGTTCTTGAAGACTGGGTGTCGAAGCAACGAACGAAAGGTGGGCCACTTGGTGACATCATGTGACTTTTTCCATCTTTTTTCCATGTTGTTTTCACATGTTCTCTGCTCCGGTGTGGGGTCATGAAATCTCCACATACTAAGACACCCGTTTGGTTTTCGCTGCCCGCGTGGTAGTCACTGAATCTTCTCATTTCTGTGCAGCTTGCAGCTTGCTCCGTTTCGCACGTCGCGCGAAGGGAGCAGCTGATCCGAGACCACCCCAATCAGCTACATGGACCTGGACAAAGGGCGAACTTTCTGCGATGAACGGTGTAATCTCTGCCAATCCTCACGCCACCTCACCAACGGCTGGAAGAGTTCCTTTTTCTCCCAAAATGGTGTTCAAACTTGACACACAAAGCTCATGTGTTGAGCATTTTTGAATTCCATGCCAGTGGGAGTGTATGGTGTTTATTTTGGAATCCATTCGGGCCTGTATTCTTGCGATATCATGCTTCTTTTCCAGCATCTATGTTCTCTTCTGCATCGCGCGGTGTCTCCTGTAGTACTCCCAAGCAACCGCTTGGGTCGTTTCCCAATCCAGTTTTTCATCAAGGGGCGATTTGCAGCAATTCCCTTTGGCGGAACACCTATAGGTCTGGATGCTGTCCAGACTCTTGACAGATGTAGATCAATTCCAAAGAATTGTGAGTCCCATGGGGTGAGTTCCGAAGAACCAGGGAGTAGCGACATGTGGACCATCCCGTTGGTTCGGTTCGATGCCTAGACATGCCTAGACACAACCTGACCATCAGATGCCATGTTCCCATGTTCTGTGACACCCCAACCCCCCCCCCCCCACACCGGACTCACTGTGAATCTGATCTCGCCCAGGCACTAATGGACGGTGAGGGGTGCCCAGTTTTGGGGGTGATGGTTGGCGCTTCAGATGCGGTTTGTGAGCGATTGCGGGCGTGTGAAAGTGTGACATTCATGTTCAATTATCTTGTAATCACCCCAGACTTGCTTTTCAACAAGAGACCGATCTTCACCTGCTTTTCAGCGGCAGGAACTTTCTCGGTTTGCGGCTTTGCTTGCTTCGTTTCCCTTCGTTTCAACCACAACCACCGACCGATCTGGGTCACTGGTCCAAGCGTTTGGCCCCGCATCGATCTGAGGCCTTCTGGCGTGGCACCTCAGGGACCCGCGGGACCGGTGGAGGTCCAAGAAGGTCGGTCCAAGAGGTAATGGTCCAAGTATGCATATTCTCTATAACATCATGGAACTACAGAACTGGAAATGGATGGCACCATATGGCACCCCCTGTTTGGTCTTCGGAAGACCATTCCACGTCAGCATGTTAGTTCCAAATGTGTTTCCTCACCTTTTTGGCTTGCTTTTAACTATACCAGCACCTTCAAAGGGGGCTCCAATAGACTACCGTTACACACACTACTCAGGGGCTCTCCATTGAGCACCCCGACATGAAGGTCCAGGTATAGTAACATGTTGAGATCGTTTGAAGCTCCAGTTTGACCTCGACCGTCCACTCCATGTGCTCCGGACGATGGCGTTCCACGATGGTGGGGCATGGTTCCAAGGCAACTCCGCCAAGGCCCTAAGGCAATGCCTTACAAGTGGAGATACACCAGAACTGGGCCCAGGTCAGGTGAATGATTTATAGAGAGGCATTTGCCAAAAAGAAGAACCCGGTGGCAGAATACATTCTTTCAGTGAGTTCCATCCACGCAAGGTTCCATCCTCAACTCTTCCAGGATCCCCTATATAATGATTTCTGGAGAACTAACTCTGATGGCGACGAACTGAGTTTGCGTCATGTGGTTCGCTCCACACCCGATGGAAGCTCCAAGTCGGTCACGCTGTCCCGGCCTTGACGATCCTTCAACTGAGTTAGGACCACAGAATGGTTAGGACCAGAAATGGGTTTGCCATGTCGATCTGATGACCAACGGCTCACGGCTGATGACAAACGCACACCCGCTTCTTTGGGTACTCTGAAGAAGCTGGCCAGCTTCTTTTTCAGGGCGGATCCAGAAAGCTTACCCCGCTGAAGAAAATCACTGGTTTGTAGGGGGAACATCGTATTTCAGGGTGCCATTCTCAGGGTTCATGTTGGTTTTCGTCCTTGTTCGCAAGTGAAGACTAAGTGCTGGTTTCCAACATGGTCAAACTGATTTTGCATGGAGAAAACCTCATCTTCCGCTTTGCGGATACAGGCATAGTTCCAACTTGTGGTCACCAAGACCCTCAGAGACCTCAGAGCACTCAGAGCAAAACTTGAAACCTTTTGAAACCTTGGGTTCCTTATTTCAGTTGTCCGAAACCTTCCTGTGCTTCGATGAACTCTTGCTCCTAAGAAGCTAGTAGCTTGGAGGCTATCGCCATCTAGGGTGGAGGCCATCGCTACTAGCTCCTGGCATTGCCATCAGTAGCAAGAGCGCTCCGAATCTCCTCCGACCTCCTCCGCGTCCGTCTAGGCCCCACTGGCCCGACAGGCCCTCGCGGCGCTGCCCGGAAGCGCAGGGGGGAGAAGCCCAGCGGGGTGTCGGTGTGTTCCGTTTGGCAAAGGGGATAGAATTGATAGAATCATATCGGTTTCTGGCATGAACAGGCAGGTAGACGATGGGACATGGAGGATGGGTTCTTGATGCTTCTTGGATGGAAAGGTTCAGTATGGTTCAGTAGAGTCAGTTCCAGTAGATGAGCATCGATCCAAGTTCATGGCTTGTTGGAGGAATGCTTTGCCTATGAGTGGAGCGGCGGTAGCCTGTCACGTGGAGACCATTCGGACTCCAGAGCCTCTGTCCCCAAATGAGTAATCAACCCTGTCCCCCGGTTCACCAACACCACCGGAGCAGTGAACCTGGACCTTCTACTCTTGGTTCGGTGCGCTGGAGCAGTGCTCGATCCCATCCAGTCGTGTAGGGAGTAGTCGTGTGTGGAGACCCCGACAGGAAGGTGCTGGAACATTCGATCAGCTCAGCTCGGTGGATCTTCCGCTCATCTCGGTGGAAGTGACTCCGCTCAGCTCACTTCAGTGAGCTTCCGCTCAGCGCAAGTCGCAAGCCCTGCTGGCCAGGTTTGGGGGCAGCGACCAATGCCCTAGCATGCTTGTACAAGAGGCACCTGAACCATCCTGAACCCACTTCCAGAGGCCCTTGAATTGCCCAAGGTGAACCAAAGTCCTGAAACAGGGAACCCCGCTTCTTCTCGTGGATGAACGTGGAACTGCTGGAACTATTTGCGCTTGTGTGGAACTGGTGGAACTATCTGCACTGGGTTCAAGATTGAAGATTCCATTCAACCCTACACCGACCCTTCGTACCTCCGAAGCGGTTCGGTATGACTGGAGCCGACTGGCTGGCACTGGCTGGCCCGAACCTTCGTCCCACCGAACCGAAACATACCGAAAAACAAACCGGTACGGTACGACTGGAGGCCAAGGCCGGGTTTTTCAATTTGTTTTAAACCCTAAACTCAAAGATTCGACGAGACCGAGGGGTGGTCTGTCGCAGCGTGTGTGTGTGTGGTCTGTCGCAGCGTCGAGTGGTTGTCCAGTGGAGTACGTACCGGTTGAGCAGCGTAGAAAAAACCTCTGTGAGGGCGGAGTACAAACAGGAAGGTTTTCCCACTTCGATGATTCGGAGTGTCAATCCCACCCTTGGAAAACACGGCGTGTTCACCGATTGCTTCTCCGTCTCCATGTAGATGAGGCCCCAGGTGCTCGGTGGCGGGTCATGACCCACATACCAGGTGAGGTCAACATGGCTTTGATCCACTTGCATTGCATGTAGGTGACCCTGTCGTACGTGTTGGGGGGGTGGCTTGCACCGGCCCTGCCCGACCAAGTACTTTTTTGCAGAGATGAACTTGGACCCCCCAAAGCACCTGGGTTGTAGAGGAAAATGGTCCAAACCACGGATCAATTCTGAGGGTTCATGTCGTCATCTGCACCGGGGGTATGGGGGGCAAGCCTGCCCAAGCAAGTATTCTGGTGGACCACTGTGTTCTGGACCAAATCACTGGCAGGCATGAAAGTTGCTTACAGGATTTCTGGCATTTCTAGTCAACCCAAAGTCTGAGGAAGTGAATCCCCCCAAATTCCAGGCTACTGGCCAGCACCAGGAACATGCTTTTGGACACGACGATGTCTTTTCCTTCCATTCGCACCCATTTTTCCCTAGGGTGCTGGGGATCTCATGGCTTAATTCAAACCCTCCAGCCTGAACCCCCCCTGGTGTTTTTCCAAAACGAACAGAATAGACATCCAGTCGGGAGTCAGACGCAAGTCTCGTTCCTGAGGTCGGACCCCCTCGAGGCGCAGATGAAGACGACAGCGCCCCGACGGTCGCGCCCGTCGTGCAGCGAGGTCTCAGACTCCGGTCATGCATGGCGTTCGGACGAATCAGGAAAGGTAGCTCCCTGAGTTCTCCTTTTGCTTGAAAAACAGATGTACTTTGTAATTGACCATGATTATTTGTACTACAATCATGGAGAAGGTTGAGATAGAATGGAATGATGGAGGGGATAGGGCCGGATAGGGGGTGGAATCATCAAGCATGGAATGGAAACCAGTGGTTGTGTGCAAGCTGCGCATGCTGGCGCCATGTGGGTCTCCCAGTCTCACCAAGATCAGTGAAGACATAAATCCTGTCAGTGGATAAGCTGTGGCCTCTTTTTGAAGAATGATTGGTTTCCACAAGATGAGCAGCTGTGGATGTGTTGCAAACAACGGAGGAACGAAAGGTATTCTCCAAGAGGTCTTGTTGGGAAGGTTTTGGGAGGCTTCAAGGTCGTCCTCATTCGCAAGTCGGAGCAAGTCCTTGTTGGGTCAAAGTGGTCGTCCTCAATGGACTTCCATCTTGAAGATCTGGATCTCGAATCGTATGTGATCTTGAATCACATGGATTGTGGATCTTGAAGATCTGATCGGAAGGTCTCAGACGTTCGGAAGGTCTCAGCTCCCGTCAACCGCCCGTACCAGGCCCCTCGGGCCCCGCTGGCCCATCGGTCACGGCACCCAGATCGGGGCCAAGCATGGGTTTCTTTTTTTGTACACGCTTCTCATCACCGTATCTTTTTTGTTTTTGTTGTTTTTCTTGTTTCATACCAATTGTATCCAATCGTGTTTTCTTTCTTCTGGAGCCAAGGTCTTCTGTCTTTTTTTCCTTAGTGTTCTTTTCTTAATATTCTGCATGCAAAAATGAAGAGGGGAGGAGCAGTGGAAGCAGGTGTGAACCACACGTTCCTGCCTGCTTGGGTCGAGCCAAGCCGGATCCAAGCAGGTTCTGCGGCAGTTCGGGCAGTTGGTTCCACGGTCAGCATGTTACTGGTTGGTTCCACGGGCTTCTACTGATTTGACAGATCATCTACATGATGTCTAGGCTTCCATACATACGATCCTGCAACTTGGGGTTCGATTTGAACCCGCGGTTTGGGGCCCTTCGGTGGATGATTTCTGACTTTAGGTGTCCTTGAGATGCGACCCTTTGCACTGGGGCTGAGCTGTAGATGTGAACCAACTTGCAATGTAGTGATTATTGGGCGGAAGAAATCGGATGTGTGTCTCAGTGTGTATATTTTGACCACCCAGCACAATGACGCACACATGTGCGATGAACAGTTGTGACTCGTGCATCCCCAAATATGTCATTTCACCTCCTTTTTGATAGGGAAAGGCCGTGTTTTCGACAGCCAATTCTATGTATGAATTAATATATATATATATACCTGGTACCCCTGAAGAGTGATAATTATCACTCCGTTTTGTAATTATCAATCTTTTGGACAGTGGTGTGACAAAAAGCACTCCGGAGTGAGAATAGTTGTTCCAGAAGGGTTTTTGTTGCTCCGCAACGTATCTTGAACGCAAAGCGAACGTTAATTGAACGCAAAGTGAACGCACTGCGAACGCAATCTGAACGCAATTGCGGTTGGACTGATTTTTTCCACTCTGGAGTGCTTTTTGTCACACCACTATCTAAAAGATTGATAATTACAAAACGGAGTGATAATTATCACTCTTGTTTCTTTTTAATAGATATGATCTGTTTGCATTTGAGTAACCTTGTCATAGCAGGGAAGATGTTCCACCCCAAGACTCACAGCTTCCGCGGAACTTGATACAACTTAGTTGCATTCAAAATACCATCATCTATGACTACCCAGGACTGTAGCTTGGAGGCCATCGCTCGTAGGGGGCTTGGAGGCCATCGCTTCCGGGTCGTGGCCCCTTGACCAGTCATCCCTCGTCCGCGCCTGTAGGTGGGCCCTGCCCGTGGTCCGGTCGGACCTGGGCCGAGAGGTCAGGGCACAGGGAGAGCCCATGGGTCCCATGGGTTGATGTGGGTCCATTTTGATTGGAAGAAAGGGAAAGAATCAGAAACAACATGAAAGGACATGTTGAACCGGTCTTGGGCCATGAAACTCCTCCACGAACCTACATATGATCACATATACCATCATATACCTATAAAGTACTCATTGCATTGGACCTCCGTTTTGCTAGGAAAAGGTCATATTTTGGATCGTCAGTTGATGCTCCAAAACAGGGGTCACTCAGGTTCTAGGTATAGGGTCGGGGTTGGGGGAAGTTAAGGGGTTGCTTGGGAGCGGTGATGTGTTCGCTCTTTGGTCTCCTTCCAGCTGCACCAGGTCGGTTCTGCTCACCAGCTGGCCGCCGAGTATGTAAGATTCGTTGGGGATATCTGGGACGATCGCGCTCAGCCCGGCCCGGGCATGTTCGATTTCCGACTCAGGAGTTAGATTTCGAAGGCTAAGTCTCGGGTGGTTCAGCCTCGTCTTCACGTACCTTCTGGGAAGGTCTTTGGAGCAGGGTCTGGGTTCTTGGTTCTTTTGCGAAACTCTTCTATGTCCAGATGTGCGACAGGGGTGTTCTTTCTGGTTTCGCTGCGAGCAACCTCGTGAGGGATGAATAGGACTTGACGTCCAAGACCCTATACTTTGGGCAGCCCAGTAGTATGCTTATGCACTGGGAGCATGGATATGAACCTATTGGTTGCCACCCCAAACCCCACCCCTGGACACCACTTAAGGCAAAGTGCACAAGCCTACCAAGCTAAACTCAACCGATACTAATACTTTTCCAAACTTTTTCCCTTTAGAGAAATATAAAGATGTAACCATGGTTCCTGACCGCAACCGATATGGTACTGTAATTGCTTCACGTCACGTTCGCTCTGCAGAAGCACATTGCTGGGCTGGGCAAGCCACGCCAATCACTCCGATTGGATGCACAGCATTTCCAGCGGTCCAACCGGGAGGTCCCAGCGTCGGTCCTGCCGTCGGGCCTAGTGTGGGCCCTGCCGTGGGCCCTGCCGTGGGCCCTGCCGTGGGTCCAGCTGGCCCGCCCGAGAAGCGAAAGGCGGGATGAGCGGAAGGGTGGAGTGTACGAGTGGACGAGTGGATGTGTTCTTTGCAGAAAAGGTATGTCTTGAACAAATTAACACATGCCGGGCCTGGGAAATCCGCTTGGATTTGGAACATGTTTACGATTGTTTACCCTTTTTGAAGCATCCAAACATATCCAAACCCTTTCACTTGAAGGTAATACTGAAGACATTTGGCAATACACATCGTGCTTTTAGCTGTGGCTTGCATGAGTCTACTATAGTGTATGTTGTTGGTGGCAAAAAACCCAAAGCACATTGACAGTCTGAAGGCTATTCGAGAGCCTCATCACTTCAGACCAAAGACCTAATCACTTTGTGGGTGTGGAAGAACATGCTGGTCGCGGATGCCAGGCGAGCTGGCTCAAAAAATAGAGAAGAAGTCTGGGAGACATCCACAGGATCATCACAGGGTCATGTTTGGTAATTCTATGGGTTGGTGACTTGGTACCTCCCAGGGAGACCTCCCAATGCAGAGGACTTGGGACTTGCATGTGAGACATCCCAATGACGATCCTTGGGACCCATCCTGCTTCTCCTTGCGACCGGGATCTCGATGTTTCGTCGAATTTCTTCAGACGGATTGGAATGGAGTTCTTAGGGAAGCGAAGCAATGCGACCTGTCCTCAATGTGATTCGTATGTATATATATATATGTTATGTATGTATTGTTGTGTGATGTTCATCGATTTTGGCATCTCTTGTTCCCACCTCAAGAACTCCAACAAATTCCTTGAGTTGTGTAATACCGCTGGTTCATGTGAGTTGTCAGTGAATCTTCAGGACATTTGAACAAACATGCACACTCAAGGCACTCCAGATTGGCTTCCGTCGAACAACCGCTTCATGGTCCAACCGCCGCGCAAACCCCGCGTGTGTTTGCGGCCCGCAGGCGGAGAAGGTGGGTCCCGCCAAGACCGGAGAGCCCAGGTCCGACCGATCCGTGGTCCACCGTTGATTGGAGGTCTGGGCCCAGGTGGACTCCAGATTGGCGATAAGAATCTGAAGTATCTATAGCCCCTAGTAGCATTCTTGTTACTACTAGTAAGGCACTTGTTACTAGAAGCGATGCACTTGTTCCTAATAGCTTATCATCATGCTGAAGTTGGAAGGACACAGGGTGAACGGTGATTTGATGGAGAATTGATGGAGATTTGGCACGTGATCCGTGAAAAGCGATCATCCAGGGGGATTGCAGGGGTGTGAATCCAGAAAAATGTATCCGCTGCGATGGGGCAGGTCTCGTCTCGTGCAAGCTTGGTTTCGCTTGCTGATGATGCTGACATTGGAAGCAGTATCAACTAGCACTGTTTACATATGTTTACATTTGGGGATGTGCTCAACGCACATGCCAGCACCTTCCAAGCAATATCCAAGGATTTACTGTACCTACACCACCTGCATCTACCATCATCTACCTGTCAATCTCCATTCAACATCCCTTTGGCAGGCATTTCCCATCAAAATCAACACTACAACGGACTATACCCTAGACTGCCTGTGGAATGTCCATTGAACATCCGAATCAAAGGCGCCGTGGACAGGCATTTCCTGTCCTTCAGATGGTTTCATCGCCCCGCTCAGGCCCGGTGCGGCCGGCCCTTCAAAGCCCAAGAGACCGAAGGCCTAGGCGCCAAGGCCAGCCATTCGGAACCGACGTACCTTCGGGTCCGATCACGGCACTTTCAGGACTGAAGTTACCCAGGAGTAGGAGCGAATGGAAGAACGACAGCCAGATGCCAGACAGCCCACGAAAGCCAGACAGCCAGGGGCTCCGAATCTGCACCAGGGCCGTGTGGGTCCTTGGTGCGTTGTATCCTTGGAGTGTTCGTTCCCATTCGGGTCTACGGTTGAATGTCTTTTGGAACCGCTGGTTGCCTACAGTTTCACTGGATCCACTCGGAAAGACACGCGCCACGATGAGAAAAGAAAAAGCTCTTGATCCTTCCATCGAGAGGGGAAGCATGGGGGTCACCCCCAGTCAACGGGGGTTTAGTATGGTTTTGTTGATTTTTACCCTTCACTACCTGGTCTCGGAGGGTCTTTCAATACACACCCAAGAGATGTTGTTGGTGCTTCATGCTGACTCGGGTCACACCGGCCAGCGGACCACGAGGATTTGTCATGTGGGCCCAGATGTGAAGGTCTCATCGATCTGGTCGAGGAGAATGGTGACTCACAGGTCAAAACATCCCTCTTTGCTAGGCTTTGACCACACTATATATTGGATGCAGTCATTGACTGCACGTAGGCATACACGTACTAACAGGATGGAAAGGCGCTCCTTGGTCCTTCCCTTGATTTCCATGCGTCTCCCCTCTCCCGATCCGTCTCCCCGGTTGGTTTTCAGCAGCGCCAGGCCCGGGGAGCTTCGCTTTTGCCGACGCGAAAAGCGGAGAGGGGAGAAAAAAGAGGGGAGTGGCCGCTTGGTTGAGCATGCAGTGATGGACGGATACACACTTAATCACACTTGCCTCAAGATGTCTCAAGTGGAATTTCATGCTCACATCTTGTGGGGTAAGTGACAACTTTTAGACATTTAATCATGGTGAGTCTTGCAAGTTTGTATATAGATGAGTTATGATGAGTTGCAACGCGGAACACATCGCATGATCGCCACGGCTTCACTCTCCACCCTCCTGGAGCTCCAACGTTCGGCGCACCTGCTCTCTGCTGACCCATCATGACCACCTGCAGGACTTCGGCCGCTGGCCTCGTCCCAGTCCGCCTCGTTTGCGTTTCATGCTGGCGTGATTTTTTTGATTTGTGGTGGACCAGATAGTATACAGTACACAGCTATAAACCTTGCAAATGATTTTTGTTTGACCTTCCAGGAGGTGGGACTTTGTTCTTCTATTGTCAAGTCCCTTGGGATTTGAACCTCTTGCTCCTCTCAAGCTGCAAAGCTCCAGTCTGCTCACGAGTCGAGATGCGCCTCCTCACAACGCGCATTTTTGCAGCATCTTGCAGTGCTGGAACCCACATCTCCCAGCCTCCCGAAACCCACCCAAGCCGTTGAGAGGATGCCACGAGGCCACCAATGAGTCACTCTGGTGCCATGGTCCTCTCCGGTCCGGTCGCTCTGATGCCACGGTCCTCCGCTGGCAAGCGCCACTTCTCGGACCAAAAGACGGGAGCGCCGTAGAGCGACGTCGGATAAAGGAGCGTCGGGTTCTCGTCTTGCAATTGCTTTCTTTTGGCTTTTGCCAGGCAGGGTTGTGTTTATTCATTTTAAATCCATTATTGTTGTGTGTGTGTGTGTGTCTTTTTTAATGGACTTTTGCCTTAGTCTCTTCCCTGACCTTTTTTTTAACCGATGTCCTTCGACCGTCTCTGACCGAGCCGCAAACACGTTCACGCGCCACGTACGCGATTCGTGTGACGGACAGCGGTGGAGAGAGGGCCTATTCGAGATGGAGGGTTCGGTATCAACAAAAACCAGGACACACTCCAAATTGGTTGGTCAACCAGGTTTTCAGCATTGGCTGGTGGATGTCAGTCCATATTCCGTTTGCGTGCACATTTCTCAAGCGAGAGACACCGAGCTTGAAGCGATGCACAGCTCAGCTGTGGAACAGTCAACCTAAGCTCACGCCAAGCAGAGCTCGTGAAGCTTGAAATTCATCGCCACCTGGACGCTTGCGAAAAAGCAAAATGAGTCTCCCTCTCAACCATAGATTTCTTGTACAGATCCGTCTTTAATTTGAAGTTGTTTGTTGCTGAGGTACTTTGGACACTTGTCCATGTCAAGCACCATCAAGCACCAAAGAATGGCTTGTGTCCACTTGCTCATGGTGCCTTTGCACCGCTTTCTTGGCGTGGCTGGTGTTTGCCTGTTGCTTTAGTCATGTCGCGGACCAAAGGGGATTGTCGCGCATGCTCAGACATGCTCAGTGACAGCTGTGTTGGCGAACCCTTGCTGTTGGTGTGTTCCTTTCCTTTTTTTTTCGACCTCATGTTACGGTCAAGCAGACGTATACGTCCAGGTATGCCTCGTCACTTCCCTGGGACTGGTGTCCGGAACTCGACAGCTTTCCCCGCCCGCCCCGGAGGACCCGCCTCCCCTGGCTGTGCATCGAACATGTCCGACAGCGGCGCCAACGAAGGACACTCGACGCGTTCGTGCCACTCGACGTCCGTGCGCACGCCGTTCCTGCGAAAAGCCGTGCGCCGCTACGGCCGCCGTGGGCCTGAGGCGATCCGAAGGCCTCGGAGACTCGGAGATACCTGTGATCCAACTATGTCTGCCATGTCTGCCGCACAATTTTGCGCCGGAAGATATTTGTGTATCAATTGCATTCCCAAACGACACCCCAATCCAGACCCAGGAATACCTGGGAGGTGGACCAGAACACCGGCACCCTCTGGAAGAGCAGTTTATGCCGAACAACGAGACGCATGCGTTTGGACATTGTGCCTGGCATCGGTAATAAGATTAAGCAGATAACAACGTCGATGAAAACGCGCAGAGAACCGGTTCAACGGCGTTAGGGAAAACCAAGGAAGGTGTAAGCATGCAATGTGCATGCGTGCTGCGTCACAGGGTCAGTGGTGTTACACAATACTGACGTGCGAAAATGGACAACGTTCACTTGAGTCGAAAGAAGAAACGGCCGCAACGATACTCACGTGTATAGTGCGTGACTTGCAAACCCTACCGTCGCCGGTGTGTCCTTTTTCGTCCCGAACATTTCAAAGATTCGTTTAATCACGATGCATCTATCAAGACTGGTCCTTTCTGCAGGGGCCTTCACTGTCCTTCGTGTCAGTCTGTGCCAGTCGGCAGGAAAAGAACAACGACACACTGCAGACACTGCAGACGACGAGACGGCCTTCGCAACGCCCGTGTTGACAATAACGACTTCCCTGTGCGACGGCCTTCTGGCCTGGCCGTCGTGCCAGGTGAGGGTTGTTAGATTTTATCATATTTTATCAGAGTTCTTCTCCTCTTCTCCTCCTCCTCCTCCTCCTCGTCTTCTGCTTCTTCTCCTCTTCTCCTCTCCTTGTCGTTTTGACTATATACCGCACCTCAACTGCCAGCTCCAGATCGCAATGGGCTATACCTCAACTGCACGTGCATGATCGCAGTGGGCACTACCGGACCTCAAACTGCAAGTGCATGATCGCAGTGGGCACTCCCGGACCTCAATCGCATGCGCCAGATCGCAGTGGGCACGACTGGACCTCACCAGCAAGCGCCAGATCGGAGTGGGCACTGGACCCCAACAGCAAGCACCAGATCGCAATGGGCACTACCGGACTTCGACAGCAAGCGCCGGATCGCACTGGGCACTACCGGACCTCAACAGCAAGCGCCAGATCGCCGTCTACCTGGCATAAGAAGCAGGCATTTTATCTGGCACTTTCTCCGAAGTCTATCGCCCACTGCGATCGGGAGTTGGCGGTTGAGGCCTGGCAGGGCCCATTGTGATCTGGAGCTGGCGGTTGGGGGCCGGCAGCGCCCAGTGCGATAGGGAGCTGGTGGTTGAGGGCCGGCAGCGTTCACTGCGATCTGGCGCTTGGTCCGGCAGTGCTGCGATTTGGCGCTTGCTGGTGAGGTCTGGTGGTGCCCACTGCGATCTGGCGGCGCTGCTGCCTGATCTTTTTGATGCAGAGCACATGTCGGAGTACATTGCAGAACAGATGCTGTGCACGTGTCATTGCATATGCCAGACAGGAAACATGCCGAGACACACGCCAGCAACCCAAAACGTTCCCTAGCTGTGGTGATAGATGGTGATTCAGAACGCAAGCAAGATTTGATGGCAGAACAAACATCAAAACATCGTGTCAATCCGACCCAATCGCTGTTCAATGTGGGGTCGCTCGAAGTAAAGTAATGTAAAGTAATTACGTTTTTTGACGGGTGAGTTGTTGATGATGGCGCAGGGAAATCCTATGGTTGAGCCACCTGCCCAAGACAATATCCCATAAGAACATGACTTGGGAAGGGCTTCGTCACATTGTCCTGGTATAGGTGCATCTCAGCACTGAATACCGAAGGAAGCCAACGTGCCAATGGAAATGTGGACTTTTGATATTGCTTGATGAATTGCTCCCCATGAAGAGGTGCTTCAATCCAAATGCGGGGCTTACTTACCTTGCAGGTCCTTGCAGTCTTGCGGTAACCAAGGACAACCTGACAGCAGGGGATCAAACAGTTTGAACACTAGAGAACGGGAAGGGGAGAAGATTTCGCCACAAACTCAGGCCACCAAGCGGCTGCGCAGCGAACACGAGTTTCTTCATGACATGGTTCGTGGATGTTCGTGGCAACGACACAACACGTGTGGCATGAAAGAAACCCCGGCATGATTGGAAAAATGAACCGCGTTGGAGGCCAAGGTTATGACGACACACAATTAATACCGAACACCTAAGGGCACAAAACTGTGAGGCACGCCCCTCTGATCGGTCTTCGAAAGTAATCTTTGGTAGTGTTCGTTCTGGATGACATTGATTCCGTATATTCGATTGGATCCGGCGGACGTGAACCCATCAAGCATCCATTTTGTGTCTTCCTATACCTAGAACCCGTGGTCTCGTGCCCTTCTTATCGCTTTGGTGACCGGGCCCCCACCTTTCCCGCCGACCGCGGCCACACCTTCCCACGCCCCCCGCACAGCCCAAGTGAAGAACATGTGTCCTGGACATGAACGCAAATGCCTGAACTGGAAAAACGTGAGTGGTTGCGACGGTATTGTGCTTTAGTTATAAACCATTTTTCAATCTACCCAGCCGTAGGAAATTTATCAGGGTCCCCGACTGAGATCTTCGGTTTTTCTTGAATTAGTTTTTAGAAGTTGGGTGAGTACTCAGAGGGGTACTCCTAGCAAGGCACCAGATACTAATTGACCTGGAAATGTTCCTTGCTTCCTAGGTCAAGGTCACTGGATTTTTTGGGTGTGCAAATAAAACAGGTGGTGAGGAACATGTCTACCACCCATTGATTAGATAGGCGTATACTAGCTGCAGCTTGTGGTTCAGATGTTGTACACAATGTGTGCTAGGCTTGTGATTCAGATCTCAGTATTTTTGTCTTATCTATTTTAATCTTCGACTTGGCGGCGGCTGGATTATTTGGAGGGCCCTCCTACTTAAAAAATAAACTAATCAAGGGGGTCCCTCACCCCGCCCCCTACCTAATGCAAGGAAGAAATTTTTCATTGCGACCCCCTTAACCTGTGCAGGTTGTCCAGATGTTTTTTTGGTGCACGTTTGATGCTGACTTGCTGGGAATGTCATGACGATCGATGACGTTGTGATGGGTGCAGTATGATGCAGTTGTTCCAGTTGCACGTGGTTGCGCCAATGAATGAATGAATGAACCTGGTGCGCAGACCTGGGCAGCTCATTGAAGGCACAGACAGTTGAATCATGCCGACGAAGCCAAAGGCAGTTCACATATGTGCACATAGTCCCCGTGCATGACACCAAGCCCTCGGTGACGGGCGATGCTTGTCATGTAAGACAAATGAAGTGTCGTTGGCCACTCATTGAGCAGGGGCCAACGTTCGCCACGCGCATGGCAAACGTTCATTGCAAATTTATGCACCTAGAAAATCTAGAAAAGGGGACGCTGTGGGGGTGCCGGTTTTTCTATGTTTTACACACAAAATCAGCCAAAAGGGTATGTGATCAAAAGACATCTGCTTTCTCTCACACACACACACACACACTTGTTAAGTGGCACACTCTGCTGGGAAGGTATCAAGAATTTAAGAACAACCACAAAAAATCAAACAAAAAAGTTCAAAAAAATCCAAGAAATCCAAAAAATACAAAAATCCAAAAACACACACATCTATTCCTGAGCCAAACATAGGTCTGTTTTTTTTGGATTTGTGGATTTTTTGGATTTTTGGATTTCTTGGATTTTTGGGAATGCCTCCATCAATCAATCATCACATCTCCACACAAAAGTAAAAATCACGCATGAATTCTCTGCCACACCATCCAATGTCAAAAACTCAACTGAAAATCAGGCATCATCTTCCTTCCAAATGCCTCTTTGGCTTTGCAAAGAATTCTGTGTGATTGATTTTGTGATCTCAAGGCAATCTGCTCTGCTATATGCGTAGTACTTTGTGTCCTCACATGGCCGTGGACCCCGAGAATATGAGTTTGACTTCGGCAATCGATGCTGCGGAGCATCTCTTGCTCAGGGAACTACCTGCTCACGTCCATGTCGGGCCTCTTCCGCAAGGCTTGGTGACCCCATTAACGCTGCCTGTGAAGGAGCGTTTTGCCTTGTGAAATTTTTATGATTCTAAAAAAATTGGTATAGTTAGCGTAACTCGCGGAGACGAATTCTTTTGGATAGATTGAAAGATACTTAGGTTGAACCCTCAAAAGCATTTTCTCGACATCATTTACGATGTCAGCCATGAGCACATCAACGTCGAGAATCTCAAGGCAGTCATCCGCGATAAGGCATGGCATGAGCTCCCTCCAGTCCTGCAACCCAAAGAGCGCCCCCATTTTCAATACATTTCCCAATACTTTGTGCTCACTCAGACCGACGGTAACCTCTGCCTGGTGAAGCACTGAAGGACGACAAGGTCAAAGGTTCCTACATTGCTCGTCTGCTTCAAGGTCGTGGCTTTGAAATCGGTTGGGCCAAGGTGAACAAGCAACAAACCGTCGAGGCCTGCAATACATGCTGGAACAGCTTGGAGGACATCAATTTCGGCATTTCTCTCTTTCCGCTGACAAGCGAAAAGCATCGAGTGCGGTGGCTGCATTGCCGGAAGATGAGCAAGACGCAGGATGGGATTGTATCATTGCCAATGGAGAGCGGGACCGCAGCAATCTGAAGCAACTGCGGTGGATCCATCGCCACATCCAGCGGGATGGAAGTCCCATCAACGGGTGGAATGAAAAGCTCGTTCAAAGAGCCTTGGACAGCTTGGCCAATGATGGTGCCTTGGCTGCTCTCATCAGCAGATATGATTTGACCATTGCCGCCCTTCACCCTGACCTCCTCAGCATGCTCGAACGCATTCTTCCACACCTTCGTCCTTTGATGCCTTGCCGTATACTCTGCAAGGAGGTGCACTTTCCGTCTCCAACAAGTATGAGTGTCCATTACAGAAGTGTCAGTGTCCAGGATGTGATGGCAACCTTGTCTACCACAAGGAAGTGGATGCATTTTGCTACGATCTGAATGGTCCGTTTGAGGTCACACATGTTCAAGTGTGTTGTGGATCACGCCATTGCCGTTCCAACTATGGCTACAACTACAGGTGGGAAAATGGAAGCGAAGTCAATGTCTTGTCGATGAAAGACCTCTAAGACAAAATTTTCTTCATTACTTCCAAAACGGCCTTTACCGTCCAGTACCTGCGCTACCACATTGAACTTCTTTTTCGTGGGCACTTGTCAGCAAGGGCCATCGAGCACGCCTATGAAGCGGTCCATGGTGATGCAGATGCGGAGATTGCGACCCGGTTCCGCAAGCTGCTTGGCACGGGGATTTTCTACTACCTTGCCATTGAAGAGCTTGAAAAACTCAAAGTGCACAAGAGTGTCGTCATTGATAACGAAATCAGTAATGAGCACTTGGACCTCTATACAGCATTTTGCTCGAGTTCACTTTTTCCACCTCAGAACCGCAAGCTTGTGACAACGTTGGTGGGAGATGGAACTCTCAAGTTGAAGCCCGATGTGCAGTTAAACCACAGAAAAGAGCAGGTCGCCCCCGCCAGTCCGAACACACAGTGGGTCAGCGATCCAACGGCTGGTTCATGACCTGTGATCCTCGTAGTGGCAGAATCTTGAACATAGCAGTGATGCATGAGCCCGAGCAAAATGAGGACCCCATTCACATGCTGCAGTCCATGCTATGGCTATATCCCAAGGCTGATTGCTTTGTATATGACCGCGCGTGCTCCCTCAAACCTTCCGCAGAGGTCACACCTGGTCTGGAGCAAATCCAGTATTACATCGTGGACAAGTTCCATGCCTACCGTCGTGGACAAGTTCCATGCTCTTGCAACCCCCGCATCTTGGCAAATCTGCATACCTTGGTTGTTTCATTGATTTCATCTGCTTAGTAAACTCTACAACTTACCCAATGTTTAGAGAGTCAGAAAGTATTGAATTCACACTAACAAACACCAACCAAGATTGCCTGGACACCTGAGGTATCAAGAGATCGTTGGGACAACGTGTGAAAGGCGTCAATACCAACTTGGCAGAGCAGGTGTTTGCCCGTGATCAATGAAATGCGTGAGAATAGGCATAGACTTCTACTTTTGTGGCTCGCAAAGAGGCACAATGATGCACTCCTACATGGCAGCGCCTCATATCTTCGCTCCATCCCCAACAGCAAGTCCAAGACGGCAAGCAAATCGTACAATTGCTCCAAGAACAAGAAGACTCCAAAGGGAAAGAAGGTGAAGAAGACCACCATGAAGGGAATGAAGGTAAAGAAAGTCATGAAGGGCATGAAGGTGAAGGGGATGAAGGTGAAGAACGTCATGAAGGCCATGAAGTGAGGCGCCTGAGTAGAGACAAGTTTCATGTGCATGTGATCACGTCGATCTCAGCTAATACAAAGACGCAAGATGTGAGCAAGACAAAAAGCTGAAAAAAAACAATTACAAAACATTATAAAACATGGAAAAAAGCGCACCCCCACAGCGTCCCGCTCTCAAAATCTAGTGCACGGTGCGGAAAGTGGAACGATTTCCAACCAAACGCCATGTTATTTTTTCTCGTCGTTCTTCGTGCAATCAACATCAAGCACGCCAAGGACAACAGCAAACACGCACCCATACCCCATGCACATTGCACACCACTTGGCCAGGAAGGCGCGCAAATTTGTAGAAACCAGCCTGGACATTTAGCTAGGTTGTTTCACACGAAAGGAACTATGAAATTTGCAAATACCATCGTTCGATCCAAAAACTGAAACCACGTTGCCCGAAGCCGTCCCGAATGCATGGGGCACAGTGCTTGTATTTGGCGTAGCTCGGGCGGTCAACGCGTGCCAGATCGAAAATATATTTCATCAACGGTTGGTTTGTCAATGGTCGCTGAGTCAACTGGAGCGTGGGAGCCGGAGGCGGGCAAATTGTTGTTGCACCTGTCACGGAGCGCAGCGGCCCGGACTGAAGGCGAAGGCGGCCTCCTGCACAGCTCGCTCCTTCAAGAACTCTGTGTGGTGGTCCGCAGCCACCGTGCACGAGCGGTGCTCCGCCGCCGTGCTGAACTTTCAGAGTAATTGGTTTCGTCTACTGAGCGTTCTCTGAGCCGGCCTCTCTAGATCCTAGGGCTTCCTGGCTACGAGCGGAGTTCTAACCGCAGCTGCATGCGGACAGCGCATTACAGCTGCACCCCTTCCAGGGTTGTCCCTTGACATCTGTTTCACTCTTTCTTTCTCACCCTACTGCGCTTGGCTCTAATCTTTTCGCAGGCTTCCTCAATTTTCCACCGAGCAGCCCCCCGTTGGCCTAAGCATCATCTCAGAAGCCCTGCTAGCCTGTGCCTGTTCGATCTTGGTTTCACATCAGTGATGATCAGACGCGTCGTCATGACTAGAGGGGGAAACATAAAAACATTCCAAAACATTTGTTTTTCAATAGGCCAACAGACTGACACCAAGAATGAACATAAACTCCTACACTAGAGAAAACGAGATAAAACCTAACGGTTTTTCATGGCAGCTGCTCCGTCAAAATGCAAAACAGAGAACCTAGGGAAACAACATTGCATTAAACATTCACATGTTTTTTGCTTACTTGACACCATCTTGAAATTCACGGATCACCGTGTAAAGAGTTTCCGAAACCAAACCTAGGGTCCATCAAGTGTTGATCCACATCGCAGTTTTACCCGGGAAGCCGTTTGGGTTGAATAGGTTGGCGTGAGCAAAATGAACTCTCAAGCAGTGTGGGTGCAGACTGTACCAAGTGTGTTCAACACCCTGAAGGCTAAAGGTGCCCTCCCCACCTGCCAGGAGATGCTTGACAGACTAATGAAAAGAAACAGCTCGTTCTCAAGAACCATTTGCGCTTTCTTCACGATGCGCAACACAAAATACACAAGCGCGTCGACAGGGAGGCGCGCGGCTTCAGACTTGGCAAGTGGAAGTTTCCTTGGCTGTGCTTCAAGGGCCTTGGCCCAAACTGTTCCAAAAAACGCCCACTACTGCAGCCACAAGACACCTCATTTGTGTCCAAAACTTTGTCCCCCACTTGACTTTACTTGGAAGTGTTATTGTGTGTGTGTGTGTCCGGTATGCTGGAATATGCGGCACGTGCCGCTGCGTTAACACAAAGTTGTTATTTAGGACCACGTATTTCACACAATTGCCTGGCGCAGCCATGTCCGAAATTCATTGCGGCATGGTGGGGCATCATTCATGGAGGAGTTGTAACTTCAACATTTTTTGCCGTCACGACCCCGACATGATTTCCAAGACTTCGTCGATCCAATTTCCTCCAACGCTGACCATCACAACCTTCACGGCGTATGTTTTTTTCCATGATGTTCCATCTCCGTTGCGTGAATGTTCCTGCATGGTGACTTTTTGGTCAACGTGGCCACCCAAACGAAATAGATCAAGTTTCAATCGCGCTTTGAAATTCAGGGGCCCAAAACCCAAAGGCATTCATCTGGTATTATTTGGTAGAAGGGCAACGTGCAGGCATCATCGTCATGTGAGCAACAGTCAAAACACAAACATGTATCATAGCCACCCCCTCACGAGCCATGCTCACCAGAACATGACGAATGCACATGGGGTTTGAAAGTGGCCAATGTATGTCATGGAGAATTGGGATGTTCGACTTAGGCGACGCATGCCCCGAAAATCCCCGAAACATACTTCCTGAAATCGCTGCTACTTCAGCTTTCGCATTGTACGTTGCATACCCCACAGTCAAACATCCTGTCCCTGGAATGGGTGAAACTTCTATATTGTCCGGCTGTAATTGCTTGGCATGTGTTTTTGGATTTTTCTCCGTAATTATGTGTAAAGAGGCTGTCGTTTTTTAAGGGTCTTTTCGATTTGAAGCGACGCCTCGGTGTTTTGTTCTGCCGCTGGTGTGCTGCTGGTCAGCTGCTGCTTGTTTGCTGCTGCTGCTGCGGCGGCGGCTGCTGCTGTTGGCGCTGCTGCTGGTTTAGTGTTGCTGCTCTGCTGCTGCTTGGTTTGCTGCTGTTTGGTGCCGGGCTGCTGCTGGTGTGCTGGTGGGTGCTGGGGCAGCTTTAAAAGACATTAAAGAACAATGATGTATAGACCGGGCGCTGACATTGTCCAATGCTAAGGGTGTTGTGGCATGAGACACGCAATTAGAAACGGTTGGCTGCAACAGTTATTTGCGCGGCGGCGAGTAAACTGCGCGGCGGCAGGACAGTGACACAGTGGCAACGCAAAGGCCAGATCTCATCAGACCACGGGTGGTGCTGACCATTGGTGGTGTTACTTGTGACTGGGCTGCATTGGTCCTCCGGCCGTGCTGAATACATATGTATATTTCATTTGGAAACCGTGCAGGCTGGGGTGTGCAGGTTTTTCCCGGCAGCATGCATGTATAGAGTACATTGCCCACAGCATATTTACACGGATAATGTTACAATGTTACATGTAATAAACCTCTACATACGTGTGTTTTTCACACGGGCATACATACACATACATGCATACATACATACATACTTACTTATTTACTTACTTACCTACTTACTTACTTACTTACATACATACATACATACATACTGCATGCATGCATGCATATGTGGGGGCCAGTGACTTTGATCCGACCAACGCTTGCTACTCTGGTGATCGCAGCGTGCCAGAACTTGGGAAGTTTTAGGGTTTAAAATTTAACGTGGCTTTTGTGCTGATTCCAATAAAAGTCACGTTAGGCCTTTGCGACTGCGACATTTAACAAGAAAACAACGATATTGCATTTGGCCATCGCAGGCGTGCTTTGCAAACGCGAGTTGCAGGCAGCAGTGGCCGCTGGAGATGGTTTCTTGGCCGTGCTATGGGTCAGAAACCACGTGTTGATATAGGTGAAAACATGTGGGAACATCGGGTTGTGATTGTTTTCGCGCGGAGCCGCTGACGTACCTCCTGCCATTGGTGCAACAGTTTTTAGCAGTTGTTGTTTTTTGGCCCCGGATTTGCGCCAACCAGCTCCACTGGAGGTTACTCCTATTGCCGGCCATGCATCCTGGACTGGTTCCGTGCTCACGAACGTGATGGTTCCCAGGTGTCGTCCCCCGTCACTGGTGAAGCGCTGTCGGACAAGCTACTCGGACTGCGCATGTGAGGGTGGTAGTTTCCATTGTTTTTGACACTTTCCTGTGGAGAAGTCACAACGCTTTGGTCATATAGTCGGTTCGTTTGCGCTTTTTGGCAGGAAAATCGTTGGCCAACGGGGCCAGGGCAAGCTTGGTAGTTGGGGCGCGCGACCGTGGATTGCACGACGGAGGTTTTCACGTCGCCTGGATGGGTGACCCTTCCATAAAGCAACATGGCATCCGTAAGGCCAGCCAAAATGCCGACATTCTGCACACTTGGGAGGTCCTGGCCGGCAGTTTTGCCTTCACCCCTTGAAGTGCAGAAACAAATTGACCGTGGCTGATACAAAAGGCTGGTAGACTAGCACGTAGGCTACGGTATACTCCTGTGCGTCTGTCCATTCATCAAGGTACCAGTGTTTAGATCATGTCAGTCCGTTCTCCCGATTCGAAACGAAGAATTGAGATGTATAGATAAGAAATTGTTTGCTGACCGGCTGAGCAGGTCTCATGCGTTCTTTTGGGGAATCTGCAATAATTCATGCGATTGTGCCACAAGATTTTGAGTTGCTGTCCTCTGTCCTTGAGGCTGTTGCTGCCGAATTTGAACCTTCGGGAAACCATCCTCTCCGTGCAGCAAGCTTTGAAGACTTGGGACGAGGTCAGCACAGCCTTTGGCACGATGTCTGCGAACTGCGGGTGAAATGGAGGAATCGACCAGAGCAAAGTGTTCACATTGGCAGAACTAGGGTGCTCCGCACCCGGATGTGGTTGGCACATTGCAGGTCGATAGCATGGTAGCTTTCCTTGGTGGACACCGGTTGCGAGACAGGTGAGGTATAGGCATGACATGGTATATCACGGTATGGCACATGCTAATGCGAAAGGTATGTGCTGGCAAACGACGACACTGTTTGACAAGAATGCATATGCATGGCGAACATCCATGGTCAAAAACATTCAAAAACAACGTGTGGTAAGGGGTTTTGGAAAAGAGGCAGGCCACCGCCCATCACCCATCGCCAATTTCTTTTGGCTGCAGTGATTTCAGAGGTTCGATGGCACTGGCACCTCAAGATGTCTTTCAGATCGTCATCGTCCATAGCCCTCCAGAACCATCCGCCCTTGGATTGTACCATCTAATCTACTCATTTACTCTCAATCCACTCATCCGCTCTCTTAGAGCTTTCTTGCTACGGGTACGTCCAGGAGCGCCCCCGTCTCGCGTCCTAGCGTCCCTTCGGGTTCCCAAGCTCGGTCCGACCCCCACCCAGGCGGAAGCGGAGCGCACGTCGCTCCGCGCGGAGGTGCAGAAGCTGCTGGGCGAAGGCGAGTCGGCGGCTTCGGTGGTTAATCACCATATCTGGTCGTGACAGGTGCCAAACATTCTCATTCCATGTCTAATTTTAGCAGGTTTTCAGTCATAAAGACCCCTTGGTTACCAGCCACATCGTGAGAGATTTGTATCCACTGGCTCAGCTCTAGAACCTGTCGAGGCCACAGCCGGAAGCTCCAAAACGTTGACCCGCGTGTGATGCCTGGCCTTGGCTTGTTGGAAATGATGCGTTGCAGAGGTTGGTGCATTTTATTGGCGAGGGCCACGTCCCAGTGAGGGTTGCGTGGAACAGAAGCATCACAATATTGGTTGGAAGTTGGAAGTCAAGAACCAAGTTACCAAGTTGTGATCGTGGTCATGGCCATTGTGATTTGTAATCAATGTTTTCAGTTAGCCCTCTTGGCATGGTTTTTGCCGGGAAAGGCCACATTCTGGAGGAACTTGACACTGAACGATGTGTAGCCGGGACCTTTGGTAAGTGGACCGCTTCATCATCAACCAACGGGTATTCCGGTTGAGGGTAGCTAACCTGGTCTCAGGAAACAACCCACCTGAATAGATTTGCTGCAGAATCAGCACCTGGGAGGCAGGATGCTGGATAAAACCCTACAGAAGTGTCATGAAGTGTCCAGAATTGATGCGTCAGACCAGGTAGAACCAGCGTTTGCCTTTTGGTGGTTCTTCAAGGTAAAGATGTTGGTAACAGTGCTGAGGTGTTGATGGACAATTTTGTGCTAGATAGGGCAGCCAATTTCTGTGCTGAAAATGAAGTGATCGAAAGAGGCCGTCCTTATATATACACAGACGTGTTTGGCAGATGTATTGTATATGGTTTTCGTCTTACGATTGCTGTTAGGTGTTCTGACCTGTATTCTGGCATTATAATGCCCTACCTATTTGGTTTGATGGAGGCATGGGACCCGATGGGACCCAGCCAAGGGCCGAAGCACAAGCCCAAGCAGCGCATTTCGAAAGGCAGGTCTTGAACCAGAAGCAGGAGCAACGCGAGAAATGCCGGAGGGGTCATGGAGCTGTTGACCAAGTCTTTGTTTGATTGTCAATCGGTTGCGGGAAGATATGTTAAGGTTCTATATTGTGTGGAACCAGGAATGTCACCAGAAATGAACACCGCCCGGAAATGAAATCTGACATGGCAGCAACCACTTCAAGGTGATGTCAAAGCATCATCAAAGCCAACTTGGTACACCGAAAGCTACTCAATAAGCAAGCAGCATCATCCAGTCATCGATGACTCCACGTCACATCGTCTCGAATGTTTGTGGAAGCTTCTTTTCAGGGATTCTCCGCAAGAAAAGGCCGCCATGGTTTCACCCGATTCCGCGTCGTTGGATTCACTCGATTCCGGTCTACCCGGAAGGTGACACGAGTGAAGTCCGGGATTCGGGACTGGGATCCACTCTGATCGGAGAAGCATGGAAGGAGGTGCAGCGGCTACAGATGGAGCTGGCGAGGGGCCTGGATTCACAACAGTGGCACTGCTCATCCAAAGGAAACGGTCCACTAGCTGTTTCTTGCTAACGGTGCGTCACTCAAGCATTGAATATCATTGAATTGCCATGGTTGAAACGATCACTGACGGCATTTTCCTCAGCAGTCTCGACATTAGGCCACAGTTTGGCCGCTGCCAGAATTAATTGTTGTTGCATGTCGTTGCCATACCATGGCCAGATACAATTTACAGTAGTGACGGACCTGATGAGAAGAAATTTGCACAAGGAGCAGCCGCATCCCAAAGTAGACAATTCATGACACTCCTCTCCCTGATTTGACCTCATAGTCACTAGTCACTTTCGCTAGGCAGAGTCACTAAAGGACCATGAGCAAAGTGACTTTTCGGGTGCTTCAAAAAAGATGCCAGGGGTTTGTCAGAAAAAGTGGTGCATTTAGCTTGTGTTACCTTCTTTTTCATACTTGTTTCCCCAGTGCGCTCCAAGATTGGTGCCGGTATTGTTTTTTGAAGTATGTAGTGCAGGCAACCAGCAGTTCCAAAGACTCAAGACAAAACACGTATATATACACCTAGAGAGTCTGACTGGGGACTGAAGAGGCCTTTTAAAAAAAACATTTAGTGCGATCTTATTCTTAAAGCTTGGGGTAACCCTCTGCTTTAGCCCTCGGCTTATTCCCTACAAGCACCTCTGCAGTGGAGTCACGTGCTGGTGACATCGGCAACCTTGGCACTGACGCAAGAAATGCTGCTGGAGTGACTCGAGTGTTGCGCATGGCTTTCGGTCGCAGACGGTTAAGGACCGATACCACCATGTCATGGAGGAAAGGGACTTCTCTGGATTGGATGCCAAGGCGACGGATTATGACGGATCACACATGCAGCCTGCTCAACAAACTTCCAGATGATTCATTTCGCTCTGGCTACACCTGGAGTCGATTCAATGCTCTCGGGCCGCAGCCACCCTTGATGGGGCATGTCATTGAATGATTTTGGGATGCTGGAATGGGGGAATCCTCCTGCATGTCATTACATTCCAATTCTAAGCTTGCAAGCCTTCAAGGAAAAGTTTGACATGGCTGTGGTGTGTGGTGGTCCCTTTTCTTTTTTGGGCAAGTTTTTGCAGAACTTTCTCATCAAGAATTGTCATGGGCACTGGGCACGTGCCCTAACACACAGCCACTGCGCATGTTTGTGCCAATAACACAAAGCCACGGGGCACTTGCCCTAAGTCGTATCTTATCACCCGAAAACCATATCAATCGGGTTTCCTTGCTCTGCTCAGCTACGAGCAGCCAAGACGTTTGAACCTGTGAACCTTGTGGCGCCCGGGCCCTCAGGCGGCCGAGCTGTCCCTTGTGGCTGCCGAACTGCGCTCCAGCATGGTGGAGGTGTGGAACCTCCGACTGGGTGGACGGAGTAGGCCTTATATGATTAGAAAGTCCCACCATTTAGAAACAAAGGTCGATTAGGTAGCCCTATACGGCTCTTAGTCTCACACATACTGAGGTGGTTGGGGTGGGTGCCAAGGGGGTTCTAACTACCCTGTGAGGATGTGGTTGAAGCCCTTAGATCTTGCACTTGGCGTGGGTTTGGCGGGCAGCCACCACAGTTGATTCACAGGTTGTGGGGCTGGAGCCAGGGATTCTGGCAGCCTGCGCTGCTCTTTGATGAGTGCCCCAAGGTTGTTGTGTTGAAACCGGGTTGAGCTGTTCCATGCTGCCGCCGGTTGTTGAACCCACTGCGAAGCGGGACTTTTGGAACATGTGTGTGTGGGCTTTAGAACAGGGAGGCCAGCCAAAGACCTGCTAAACGGAGGACTGGACTAGACACAGTGGTTCGGGGAGACCCAGTGGTTCGGGGCCTCCCTTTTTTACATTCTACATCTCCACACCGTTCGACCAGAAGATTTTGCCTTCGCCGGTCACCTTTAGCTTTAAAAGAGATAAGATCCTGCTGAGAGGTCTTTGTTTGGGTAATAGTGCACTGACAACGAGGGCCGCAAGCATCTTCACATCTCTGAAGCTTTTAGGAAGCAGGCAGGGTCAACTTTTTTTGAGGTGCATCAAACCTTATAACTTATGTATTTGTATCATTGATTCCACCACTGCCATAGTCACGTTTTCTGTCCTTTTGCCTGGGAGGTGAACAGGTTGGAGGATGAGCTGGAGAAGACTCGGCAGCAGGCTGGGCCGCACAAGAGCCAAGTGAGTCAGTGAGCATTGAGGTGAGCAAAAGCGGACGAAAAACCTCCAAGAAGCAACAGGATGATGTCTCCACAGAGCAGCAACAGATGTAAACCTATAGCAGCACCCGCCCCTGAAGTCTTGCGCTGCATGAGCGAATAGCATGATCTAGCCAGCTTGATCTTCTTCTATGGCCGCAATCGTTTCTATGGCCCGATTCGGTTTACTGTAATAGGTTTTAATATGTTTTAATAGCATTTGACAGATCAGGTCTTCACTTCAGGCCACGGGACGCAGGCCAAGTTGCAGGCCACCGAGCTGGAAGAGCTACGGACCTCGCAACGGGACGCGTTCTTCACCGAGCAGATGCTGCGACAGGCGCCGGAGAACAGGGCGTGGGTGAAGGAGGAAACGTGGCCAGCCTTTTGAAGAACAGAAGTGGCAAAAGCAGGCCAGAACCGCAAAAGCTCCACGGGACCTTGGCAAGATTTACTGACACCGGGGTGATTAAAGAGGTATGAGAGTAGATATTCATTGCGGGACATGTCGTCTTCTTGGAGATTCGGTCCACTAGAGTTGGTGGACTACTTGCTCGGGATGCTAGTAGTGCTACCTATTGCTTGCTGCATTGCAAGCACATCTGTTAAAGTGCAAGCATCCGTCGTCGTTGATATGCTGAAATTACTTATCGAACGAAGACTTGAACGCCATAACGCAGCCACTCCATGTACCCCCCAAACTACCCCAATGTACACATATATATATATATATATATCATATATGGCAGCCCCATGGAGTGTCTGGGTAATGATATGCTATCAGTTTGGGGAGTTCCCCCCAACCCCACCGATTGGTCGAACGTGCGACCGATCAACTAGCGGCGTGCCCCAATGGGGTTGATTTAGGAGCTGGCCCGAGTGAAGGACGAGTTCAGCGGGCTGCCTGGCAGTGAGGGGTTTTGAACAAGCAAGGAAAAGGAAAGGAATAGTTCATGGCCACCCTCTTGGGACATTTCTTCGGCGGGCAGGGTTTTGAGATTGGACGGACGGTTGACATTTTGTGTGAATGGTGTGGGCCTCAGACGTGTATTGAGGAGTGAGGTGGATTTTGGAAGATGGTTTTCTTCTCTCGAGCATCTCGGGTAGTTGCAGCTCGACCCTATCCGATGAGGTACTTGTGTGGACTTGTGTGGCAGGGAGAGGTTTCCAAGCACATCACTCTCCAGGAAGTGCCCCCCTGTCACACACGTATTGACACTGCTCCATATATTGACACTTGGTCATCTCACACTGCTGTCATAAGGGTCTATGCTCTATATTTGACACTGCTCATCAGGACCACTTAGACGAAGAAATGTCTGGTTCTGGTGGCTTTTGATTTTCATTTGCGCGCCAGATTTCACCACCTGTCGCCAGAGCTTGCTTGTGAGCTGGGCTGCCAAGGAAATTGACTGTGGGAGGCGCCAAGGATCACTCCTTCGAGCTGAACAAGGAGCCACGGGGAGCGCAGGTATATATATATATATGCGTATATATAGCAGACCTAGCGTAGGATTTTCTTACTCAAGGTCACTTGCAACCTGTAGGCAGGATCTGGCATGATGATGGTCTCTAGATGCGGCAGGCATTCCGACAGTCAGAGTTTGTGCATGTGTTGACCCTACATCTGTGTGACGCGTGGTGTGGCCCACTCTCAATTGATAGTAGCGCAGCTATTTCCAGAGTCCGTCCTTCATTTCAAAGAACCTTGCCTCGAACTTCAAACATTCTGTTGGAGGAAACCATCATCTTTTTTGAAGTCTCCATCCGGGTGAGTTTTCTGGGCAGCTGGATGGGTTTTCGTCGCATCCCAAAAGGCGCGCCACGAGCTTCTGAAGAGTCAAGTCCTGGTGGTGGACCTTCAGAACCAGCTGCGGGCAGCGCGCGCCTCGACACGCAGAGGACGAGTCCTTGTGTCCAACGGTTGGCACTCCTTAGAGTCCAAGAGCTTGGTAGTAAAGGTACGTACAAGCAGGCCATCACCACCAGCCACTCTTGCTAAACAAGGTTCTCTGAAGACCCCGAAACGATACCTAAGGGTGACGGTGGTGGCATGCTTTGCTAGCAATCATCACGAGTCATTGTGGTATGGTCATGGCAACGGCCCTTGTCCTCGCTGTGCTGGAGAACTGTCCATCAGCGGGGGATGCGGAGTTGCATGGGAAAGAACATGAGGGACCTGATGAAAACCCCCAAGATGTGCGGAAATCCAAGCTCAGTGCGGTGCAGTCAAGATGGTAACGATCTGAATTCGTAAGCACTCATTGACCATTGCACACAGAAATTACCTGGATGGAGTTGCGTTTGCCTGCTTTTTTCAGCCATTTTGCGAATATGCCGTAATGACCAGGGAATATGGTCAAAGTTCAGCTTTATCCGTAATGACCAGAAAAAATGTCAGTCAAATGACTGAAATCGCTGGTTGTTTTGGTCATAGTTGAACCAAATATGATCAAATATGGATACTACCCGAACAACGCCCAAAAAAAACACAAAATAACCCAATAAACGCCCAAAATATATTTTGGCATTTTCCCGGAAATGACCAAAAACTCAGAAATAACAGCAAACCGTAATGACCAAAAAAAACGGCCACGGCCGTACGACCAGGAAAATTCAGCCATTTGCAGTTTCAGGTACATAATTAGTAGTAGAATCATGGGAGACCTTCATGCGCAGCCATGCACAGCCAAACAGAGTATAGCAGTATATAGCAGTATACCGTTCTATTCTTTCATGAATCCAGCGCAGGTTATATATTAATATAAATTATAAATATAGTATATTTTTTGACCCATGCTGAAACATGAGGTCAGACGGGCTCGCGACACGTGTCTAAAAACACTTACGAACATATTAGACCGGGCCCAGCCGCGCCTTAAAACAACGAGGACAACAACAAGATGGAGCCCACGAACCCGAAAAGAACGCCAACACTCAAAACCTGGTACGACACTCTTACTGCAACCAAAGCCCCAAAAGGACATATACCATCCACTTGTGACCGACCTAGGACCAACTCAAGACCAACTCCCCGTCCGAGGTCGAGAGCCACCGGCGCCGTCGAGCCCAAAGGCGCTGGAGATCCCGCAGGAGAATCAGTTCCAGTCGGAGCTCTTCGAAATGAAGTGGCTTGCTACGAGAGAGCGCGAGGCAGGCGCATGAATCGCGAAGAACGACGATGGTTTTCGGAGAGTTTGGCGATTGTTGGGGGCGGGACGCCCGTGGGCATGTGGCACAACTGTTGGGAAAAGGGGGATGAGAGGAGCATCGGAATTTGATGATGGAATCTGGGAGAGATGGGGAATTCTGATGGAGAGGATTCGAACAAATGACCAGTGGCCGTCTTCCAACCAGTGCAAGCGAGAGCCGATCCCAGAAACTCCAGCCTTCCACCTGGGGCCGACGTCCTGTGATGGTCTGGGCGAGGCGAACCAGAACCTGCAGCGACCGGCGGGTTTCTGGGCGGTGTTGGCGTGCGGTGGCTGAGGCAATCGCTCTCCAAGCAGGACAACCTCGTGGCGGAGTTGCAAACGCAGATCACGGCCTTGCGCTCGCAGAACAGGCTCCGCCTTTCTGTTTTGTGCATCATGTAGGTGGAAAGATGTGGAAAGAAGCTGATGGGCCCTAATGAGAAGGACAGTTTGTATCTTCATGCCTTCATGCATCTTCGATGTTTGCCTGGGGTGATTCATTGCAACAACTAATTAATGCAGATAATTTGTTTGGTCAACCTCCATCCCAGCATGCATATCATGGGAACCAAGTGATCTAGTCTACCTGCATGGAATATCATGCAATTAGTCTCGCTTAGAGAAGGAGGAATGACACCATCACACATCATCACACTGACTGAGTCCTAATCGCAATGATTCATAGGCAGTGTCCCATTACCAGCAGTCAGATGTACCTCAATGATTCAGCTTCTTCCCGCAGTGGGCTGAAGCAGTTGGCGGAGTTGCGGGAACAACGACGGCTCGAAGCACAGGCGTTGGCGCTGGGGCGCCGTGGGATGGGTAGGTAGGGGGCATTTGCACCCCACGCTAGCGAGATGGTAGGGTGTTGACAAGGGTGTTCAGATCAATTACCATAGATATAAATCATCCTTCCCACCCTCTGAAATCCCACGATGCTACATGATGCTACCATATAATATGCTACCCAGTATGCTACCCCACCTTCAACAAGGGCTGAAATGATCCTAGTCCAGGCTTCACAGGAGTTCCCTCAAGTGAGCCAAGTGGACCGACCCGTACAACATCTTCCGGTGTTTTGCTGCGGTTTTTCCTTCGGCCCCGGTGGAGTCGAAGGTTCAGCGCAGTCGCATTCAGGATGAGATCCTCAGACTCCGCGGTGAGGCCTCCGAGCGCTGCGCTCGTGGGGTGGCGGAACGGGCGAGAAGCGCGTGCGGAGAATCAGTGGCTGGACTGAGGATGGAAGGAGGACGAGTGAGGGATTGCTGAATTCTCTTGCGGGATGAGCTACTGAGCAAGTCCCAGTGGCTCGAGCACACGACCAGGCACATCACCATCTGAAAGTCTCATTTCCCGGAGATCTATGAACCGGCACATCACTAATGGCTGAATCACTCAAAGCTCGAACGGTGAGGTATGTTGACGCCCACCATCAGTCGCGCAGCCACTTGTGCCACTCGTCACCCATAACTACCCGCAGTCGCCCCTCACTACTTCCCACTACGAGTCGTCCCCTGTGTTCTGGTTCCTTCCGCACGTCAGAAGAGGATTTCGACAAAGGCAACAAGAACCACATCTTTCAAATGGTTTAGTTTCGATAAGCATCCATACTATAAAACGCATCCTACCTAACCACCCCCAAGAGTTGGAGCCAGCTTGCCCATCTTTCCGGTTCGCGTGCGGGATCGCAAAACCTTCGAGTAACAGGTGGACAGTTCGTTTTGACCTGCAGCTTTCCGGGGATCTCGACGGCTTGGGAGTCAGACTGGCTTAGCCATGAATATCTGGACCCGACGGACCGTTCGTACCCAAAATTGGGACATGACCCGAAGAAAAAAGGCCATATATATACTTGTTACCATCTGGTGCAAGGAACAGATGGACAGTTCGGCTGTTTGGCCCTTCCGGCGCAACGGGTGCCATCCCTTTTTCAAACATGAGAACCTGTTCACAAACAGCTTGACTCACTCGAGTGCATCTACCGACTCCGAGAATCCACTCCCCAGCGAATCCGCAGCTCCTCACCATCGACCGCCGCACGGCGGTGACCACCGAGCTGGAGCGTACCACGGAACTGGCCACGCGCGAGGCGCCCCAAATCGGCTGGAGGAATCGGTGGGTTTTCCAAGTTTTCCACGTGAAAAAACCAATGAAATCCATGCATTGGGTGGTTAGAATCCAGATGAAAGTCCAGAATCCATATTAAGTCCGAAATCTGATGACATTTGTGGGTTGGTGTGGTCCTTCCAGTTGAAAAACTTCGCTCCAGATTGATCCGGGACTCGCTGGATGATGCTTTCTCAGCAGACAAGTTGAAAGCGCCCAGGGCACGGCTGAAAAGGAAGGTCACTCAGTCATGCAACGGTGCAGAGGCGCCTTCGACTCTTCATCTCTAATACCTGGCCTGTGACATCTTAGAGTGTTGAATCCAGGCTTTTACAGGTCAAAACTACCTTTTTGTTTAAAGTTTCCGGTCAACGGAGTCAACGGAGCAGCACTCCCGGTCAAAGCCTTGGACGCTGACCAGTGCACGCAGTTCGGAGGCCGAGCGATTGGAAGAGGAAGTCGTGGTGCTGCAAAAAACGGCTGGAGGAGCAACAGCGAAAGTTCAGAGATTTAGCGCCCTGGCGTAGAACATGTAGCGCCCGAGCCCGGGCAACCGGGGAATGACCGGGACATGATATTGAAAGACTCTGTAACATGTAACACTGCAGTAATTCGTCATAGTTAAGTAAGTAGTTAAGTAGTTGATGGATGCTAAATGCTAACCTGAAAACAATTCCCCAAGTCCCAGGCCCCAAGTCCATCCAACGCACGGGTGGTCGTCGGAAGCAAGCGATATGAACAGTTGTTTTCTTTGATTTTTTTTCATTTGGAGTAGAACATCAGGCTGCTCCAGTCGAGACCGCCGCAATGACGCTGGAACCGGAAGACGATTCCGGGAACCAGGGTGTCCAGTTGATGTCCTGGAACCGGTGTGGTCCGCAAGGTCTCCAGTTTGGGCGGAGAGCCATCGCCCGACAACGTGGAGGTCGCCCTGCGGACCAAGGCAGCCGAAAAACGATCGCAGACCAACGATGTGCCGATATACGACCCCAAGCTTCTGGTAGAACTTGATCTATACATACGCATGTATGCATTATATATGTTCATACTTCATACATATAATATTCATATCTACATAGGCTTTCTTTTTTGCGGTCACTAAGGGCGGTTGCCTGCAGCACGCGTTGCATCTAATTCCGAATTTAAAACTGCACTTGGCCCCTGAAGTAAACCCGTTTGGGTTCCTTCGGGCCCGCAGCATACTTAACAAGAAGCGCTGCGAAACAAAAGACCACCTGAACCGGGCGATGGACCCCCGTGAGTCATGCAACATGAGCAAAAGATGGCTGAGCAGCACCGCTTGATGATGTACTCAGCACTTGCTAAATAAGAGAGCGGCAGTCAAAGTCTGCCAGCTACTGAAAGAACGCCGTGTAGAACGTTCAAAAGCTGCAAAAACAAGAGTCACATAGCCACTGCCGGTTTGCAAACGCTCGCGTGCTGCCACGTGCTTCATCGGCAACATTACTTTCCTGACAAATGCAAATGGGTCTCGATCCTGGTTCTCCAACCATTCGTCGCTGCAGTGTTCCTCCATGGCCTTCGGGAGGCGATCCGTCAACGAAGCAAGGCCGCACCGTCTCGGCACACGGTCGCGCCATACTGTGGTAAAGCTGCATATGTGCAAGTCTCTTGCCATGGAATCCAACAAGCAAGAGAAGCACACTCTTCTCCTAATCCATGGGAGGCACAGGCGAACGTCTTTTCAGGTTCTGGGGCTGACAAGTGGATCCTATCGAAATAGGCAATCTTGAGCCCTATCTACATAGACATAGATATAGACATATATAATGTGAGATTTGTTTGCAATAGGAGTAACCTCTTCATCGTTGCTTTTGGGGAGGGGTCTTTGTACCCTTCATAATCGTTCCCTTTGGAGTTCATTTCATGTTGCTTTCATTCTACCTTTTGTTTGCCTTCATTTGCTTTCATGTTGCTTTCATTTGCTTTCATTTTACTTTCGTTTGCTTTCATGTTGCTATCATTTCCTTTCATTTTACTTTCATTTGCCTTCATTCTGCTTTCGTTCTACTTCCATTTGCTTTCTATTTGCTTTCATGTTGCTTTCATTTGTTTTCATTCTGCCTTTATTTGCTCTCATTCTGCTTTCATTTGCTTTCATTCTGCTTTTATTTGCTTTCATTCTGCTGTCATTTGCTTTCATTCTCCTTTCATTGATTTAATTCTACTTTCATTTGCGTTCATTCTGCTTTTATTTGCTTTGATGTTGCTTTCAATTTCTACTTTTGCTTTCGTTCTGCTTTCATTTGCTTTCATTTCCTAAGCCAGGAGCCAGAATAGGGACAGGGTCTGTAATTGTGGCCTCCCATATGTTGTGGATCCTGGGCGCTTGTAAGGGGTACCAATTGAACGACTGTTGAGGGGAAGCTTTTCATAAGAGGCTTTGATTGAAGACATGGATTTGGATGTTGAAAGATGGTGAATGTTTGAAAAGAGATGTTGAGAGCCACTAAATGGTGGATGTTGAAAACAAACAGAGATGTTAGTTAGTTTGTTTGTTTAGGATGGTGGGTTTGCAAGAAAGTGTTAAACATACATGTGCGTGAAAACCACCCAGAGCAAACTGGGCGAACCAGAGAAAGAATCTGCAGCATGTATGTCCTAAGCTTTCTGGGTGAGATTTGGGATCAGAATTTTATATTTATTGTCCCATGCCTATTTATGTTTATACCGCCCAAGCCATGACTTTTTGGGTAATATTGAGCCCATCGATATGCTGGGTTTGTGGACACCGGAATGGTCCAATTTGGTTCTCTCAAAAGAGCTCATGGAAGTGGATGGCGCTGACAGTTTGTGTCCTACCCGGTCATCAGTACCCGCCTTCACAGTCGATAAAAGACGATCACGATTTTTGACTCAGAATTTTACGAATCATCAGGGAATGGGATATATCAAAACCTGTTTTTGGCATCTCTGGTGCACTAAGATGGACCTGCTGCTACTGATTTTTCAGTGCGTTCTCTCCCTCAAAGCTGTTGTTGCCAGAACTGCAGTGTGGTCACGAGGTGTTGCAGCTGCAGAAACAGTTCAAAGATCGGGGCGACCTGTTGCGGACTGTAGCTTCTCGGCTTGTTGGGCTTTAACAAGTCATCCAACTACACAAGGATAGCGGCGCTGTAGCGCTAGCCACCCACGTGGATGCCGCTTCGCTGGCAAGGGAAGAAAGGCATCAGGGATACTGTATATGGAATAGCTTATCAACAGGCGGGAATTTGTAGAAACATGTTCAATAATCGGATCATTGTTTTCCTGCAGTAGTTCTGTTGTTCTTCCTTTTTGTGGAGGGGGCGCACCACATAGTCACAGAGGC